GCTTGCCGACAACACGTGCAATGGCAGCGAACCACTCATCCGGGAAGTATCTAATGAGTACCGCCCATGGAATGCAGACGAAACCGACAATGATGCTGATAGCCCATTGTGTACCATCGATACCTCCTGGCTTGATCTGGAATGCGCGCCCACCAACAAAGATGATAAGAACCTGAAGGCCAATGATCATCACGACGATGCCAATGAAGAACCAGTTCCTGAGTACACCCTCCAGCACATTGAGCTTGTTGTCCAGACGCCGGTTGTTGAAGATATTGAAGATTTGCATCCAGACGAAAGCGTTGAAGATGATGGTGTCGAGCTCGAGTTGCTTCTCGTCAATGGAAAGATCGTAGCCAAGGATGTCGCCACCGGCGAAGTATAGCACAAAAATGACGGTGATCTTGTAGATGTTCTGGCCCATGATCTGCTTCCACATGGTGATTGTGATGAGAGGGCCTTTGCCCTGTGGTGGGCGGTCAAGGATCTTCTCGGTCGGTGGGTCGGTAGCGAGTGCGAGGGCAGCGAAAGTGTCCATGATAAGGTTGACCCACAGAAGCTGTACAGCTCTGAGCGCAGGCTTCATGTCTTCATCGTACACCGCGGTCACGAACGCGAGAACGACAGCGGTAATGTTGACAGTGATTTGGAACTACGAGCGTTAGCTGAGTGGTTTGAGTTGGAAGATACTGTATGACTTACCTGGAGGAACTTTTGAACAGCGTCGTTAACAGCCCTACCCCACATCAGCGCGGTGATGATTGAGGAAAAGTTGTCGTCCATGAGAATAATCGAAGACGCTTCCTTGGCAACCTCAGTACCAGAGACCATCGAGAAGCCTACGTTGGCTGCCTTCAATGCGGGAGCATCGTTGGTGCCGTCACCGGTCACAGCGACTATCTCACCAAGGGTCTTGAGACGCTGAACCAGGATGCGCTTGTCTTCAGGCGATGACCGGGCCAACACTTGCAGTCGTGGCAGTACCTCGTCAAGCTGCTCCTCAGTAAGGCGGCGGAAGTCTGGTCCTTCCATTACTAGACCACCCTCGGTGTAGATTAGGCATTCGGTGGCAATGGCGCGGGCAGTTTGCATGTTATCACCAGTAACCATTCTCACCGTGACACCAGCCTTTTGTGCCTTGCGAACAGCCTCAGGCACACCAGGTCGTACAGGGTCCTGAATACCGACAAGACCGAAGAATGTGAGATCGCGCAGCAGGGAGGCGAAGTCAACACTGCCACCCTCAGTGAGCGTAGCATTGGCCGGTGGCCATTGCTCGAAGTCGCGGTACACTAGTCCGATGGTCCTAAGAGATCGGTTTGCGTATGTGTCGATCGCCTCATTCAGTACCTGGCGGTGCTCTTCCGACAGCGGCTCTGTCTCTAATGATTCGAAATGCGCAAATGCAGAGGCAAAGCTGAGGAGGATCTCGGATGCACCCTTAACGACGAGGCGGTAGTGTCCGTTCGGGAGCTTCACAACGGCACCCATGCACTTTTTGGCCGAGTCGAAGGGGAACATGTGTACCACCTGCTCGCTGTCGCGGGTCTCTGACAGCGAGACGAGTCCGAGATGATCCTTGGCGAGCTCGAGTAGCGCAGTCTCAGTCTTGGATCCGACGAAGAGGGGCTTGCCGTCCTCTTGACCTTCGAAAGCTGTAGAGTTGATTGCGATAGACTGGATGAGAAGTTGCTTCGAAGCGGCCGAAACCTTAGATGCCCATGCCGATATGGTTTGGTCCTTCTCCGAGGTGGTATCAGCGTGAACGAAGCTGGTAGTGCCGAATGTGCCGGCAACGACTGTCATCCTGTTGGTCGTCTGCGAAGATGTTAGATTGTGTTCATATCCAATCGATCTGTAGCACTTACCAAAGTACCGGTCTTGTCTGAGCAAATAGCTGTAGCATTGCCCATGGTCTCACACGCGCGCAGAATCCTGACAAGGTTATTCTCCTTCAGCATCTTTGTTGTCGCAAAAGCCAGTGCTAGTGTTACTGCTAGTGGGAGACCTTCTGGGACCGCTACCACGATAATGGTCACAGCAACAATTAGGATGTCCATGAACGCCGACCCCTTCTGCGATGCAGATCGGGTGTCACCAGACAGTCCACCAACAAAACGGAAAAGAAGGACAAAGAAGAGGAGACCGGCAGCTGCAGTTCCGAGGTAAGCGATGGCCATGGCAAGCTTAGCGAGCTTCGCTTGTAGTGGTGTCTCCTCGATCTCGACGCGGACAGACATCATGATACGGCCAAAGCTGCTGTGCTCTCCGACAGATGTCGCCATGAAGGTACCGACGCCCTCGAGAACCTTCGCACCGGAAATGACGAAGGGGTCAAGGCCCTTGGTGGACTGACCAGACTCAAGTGCCTTCATGACGGCGGCACCTGGTGTCTTGCGCATGGCGTCCGACTCTCCCGTAGCAGAAGACTCATCGCACTTGACATCGGAGCCATCCACAAAGATTCCGTCGACTGGAATGACATCGCCAGGTTCCAGGTGTATGATATCGCCGGCTAGGACGTCGTAGATGCTGATCATAGAGGTCTTTCCCGATCGTGTGACTTTGATATCTCGTTGTTCCTTCTTCGCATTGAGCTTTGCGAATGCCTGTTCCTTCTGCCAGTCATTCACGGCTGTGACGAGTACGACGATGACGATGGCTACAACAATTGCGCAACCCTCGACCCAGTCCACAGGTGTCGGGGATCCCGGTGGATGTTCCGCACCAAAGGTTTCGTAGAGTCCAAGTGCTAGCGATATCGCCGCTGCAACGGTAAGAACGATAAGTACCGTGTCATTGTACGCATTCCAGACGAGTCTCCATAGAGGAGTGACCTTTTTCGGTGGTAGTACGTTCCGGCCATGTATGCGTATGCGATCCTCGAAGGGCTTTCCGTCACTTGGTGCTCGACTTGATTCCTTCTCTTTTGTGGGTGTCTGTGGATTTGTTGCTTCGTCGAAGGAAATGTGCCTCGCAACTGTCGATTCGTCGGCACTCAGACCAGAGTGAGTGTCTGATTGTAGTCCGGCTGCGATACCCTGAATGCCGCCCAATGCTTGATATACAGGGAGCGACTTGGGGTTTAGCAGCTTGCTGAGCTGCGATGGTGTGAAAGCAAAGGGGTTGTTGGTGTCGGCTTTAGCTTCAGCGCGCAACTCGTTTTGCAGCGCTGTGTCGTAGTCTGCTACTACCGTCGATGCACCACTTGTGGACGCATTGCTAGGTGATATTGGTGTCCGGAAAGGGTCTGATGTTTGTGATGTGACCGTGTCTGCCTGACTCAGAGCACGCTGTCGCGTGTTGATTTGGAGTGTCGGAGGGGCAAGTTTGCCGGTCTCCATATTTGAAGTATGATAGTGATAATGCAGAAGAACCGCTGGAGAGATGCAGTTGATGATCGTGCTTCAAAGAAATAGAGACTATGTAGTAGCAGTATAAGGGCTGGATTGTAACAAGGCGGAGGACGAAAGCCTCTCAAGCTGCCATATACTCTTTCAAGGTTGAGGCGGGCTGTGTAAGTGTGGGCCACCATCCAAGACTGCCAGGCGCTTGGTGCGCGATATTGGTCTACCTGATGTGATACGTACTCCGCCAGAGCCTCGCTTGGCAACTGGTAGCCTCCTGAGGAACGATGATTCCGCGGCGAGTTTTCGCCTTCGCCAGCCAGGTGACATCTACACATTGGAGACTTGGTAGAATGACCGAGAACTCAGCCTTCCGCCTACGTCGCATCGATGGTTGAGCTGTAGACTTGTCGCCAAGGAGGCGAGATTTGATGCTTTTGGCCACTAACGGCGTTGATAGCGAGATGAGCGGCTGTCAAGAGTCCGGTGGTCTTGGAAGGGGGCAGTGCAAACCCCATCCGAGCACAGTGAAGCGCGGAGGCCCTCAGCGTCCGCTTCCACCGCATCGCTATGGACTACTGCACAAAGACTGTTGAAACAGAAACAAGGTGAGAAGAAAGAACGCGCGATAGTTTGAAGTCACGATTGAGTGTCGCTTCGATGTCCACCGTGCAGATCAGGGCGAGGCTAGCAGGGCTTAACCTGCGCCACGGTAGCGCCACTGAGGCTTTGCTCATGGTTTAGCCATCTTTGGTTTAGCTCACTCGACTCTCAGCTGCCCCAGCCTACCTATATAACATCTCTGCCTGGGGCTGTCCTCCATCCGTCAGGTATTCAGCATTGTGCCCAGATTCTTTCAGATGACAAGGACGTAGATGTGTAGGACCTCGTCGATAGCTTTTGCAAAGACTCGCCACCCATGGGCACTTTGATCGAGAGTCTCAGATAGCATGATACATAACGCCGGGAAAACACTGTATCTCCTATCGCCGTCTGAGTCTCTTCAACATGCTTTGGAAGGTCTCATCCGGCGCCATGTGCCCGATACAAGTTCCGTGTCTCCGTTGATACATGCTTTACCGCCTGAGGCTAACTTCACATGGCGTCCAATCATGATTGACCAGCTGCGCTCATCAGATTCTGCCTTGTCTTGGAAAGCGCCTGTTCGGTCTTATGTCGTGCGCATCTCGTCACACCCTCCGCTCAATAATCTCAGCTGGGCAGGAATGACAGCTACGATGAGAAGCGTGTTCTAGGCGTGCGCGTCAAGGTGACTGTCATCGAGGCTAGATGAGCCGCATGGCGGAATCTGTGGCGCAGTCGGTGTGGCGCATTATCTTCGAACACGGGGCTGCCGAGGTTCAACTCATTGGCATCCGGCGACAGCTTTTCACAAGGAAATTGACAATCTAGACTGTCGGAGGCGGAGTAGAAAGGAGACACAAGGACACGCCCGTGGAGGTTGGAACATGTCATCAAAGGAGAGAGCGATGATGTCATACGCGGGCGCACGGATTATTTGCCGCTTGCGAACTGGCAGCTGGGAAGCTCGTTCTCGTGCGTGCCCAGGTGCCTGATTTCAAGTTTGATTGCGGAAGCCTAGACTGCTATGCTTCACACCGCGCCCATCTCGTCTCATCGAGGCTGCTACACCAACAAAAGAAAGTAAGATTATACGGCAAAAAATTTCCGCTTTCCGGCCGCCCATATCCCAAAGCACTACCTAGGCGGATGTCTTTACGCCTCCAGTAATCCCTTGCGAAGAATGCACTTGGGATCCACCGCAGGTGCCTTGATGTATGGCATGTCCCTCGTCTGTTCCAAATGCACGCTCCCATATCGCAGTAGCCCTCCCAAGGTACCAGGTGCAGCATCTATACCCTCGTTCTCCGGAAGGTCCAGCAATGTGCCGATATGGAGTGTTTCGCCCAGTCCTTTGCCATGTGTAATCTTCTGCATCACACTCTGCGTCAACATGCCCCACGTGGCCTTTCTCGCCTTCTCATATTCCACATCGGACTCGTCAGCATCCACTCTCATGGTCAAAAGCTTCATGAAGTCTGCGCTATCGAAGCCAAGAGTGTTCTCAGCAGGAAAGTCCTCGGATAGCGCATGCCATAGCAAGATTTTCTCAGCCCAGTATGTGACGCCATCGAAACCACCGTTGGGCTCTTGCAGCCACGTTAAGCGTATCCAGGCGAGACACTGTCCAATGTATCCGATGAGAGTCTGCTCGTCGACTTTCCACTCCCACTTGAATCCGGCTTCGTAAAGAGCGTTGTTATTCATCTGCTTGATGAAGCTGATGAGAGGCGACTGCACCACGCCAGTAAAATCGGTACGGCCCTTCCAGAGCTCGAGGAAGATCAGGTGCCTGTCCACAGTCAGTCTAGTGAATTATGGCTGAGTAGGCACAACGCGCCAATTCTTGATGAACTTGTCGCCCTTTCGAGAAGCCACGACATGATTCGCCATGAACTGCCCATACACCAGTGGCGCAGCAACTGTAAACGGGCTGCTGTCGTCCCCAAGCTGGTCCCAGCAGACCTTATCGAGGTGGCGGAACACGATGCATCCGACGTCCATCCACACCCCGCCGTACGTGTACAGTGCTGCGCCACGCAGGAAGTCGGCGCTATGAGGGCCTACGTATGGTCCTGTCATCGTACCCTTCACAAAGGTCTCTGGAAGAAGCTCGGTGGAGATCCAAGTCAACGCGTGATTTAGCGAGTCCGGTACTGTATCCAGCACGCGAATCGTCCACTCAGGGCCATGAAGTCGCACCCAATTGATGATGTTGCGCTGCGTCCACTCCGGCATCTGCTGTACGCCAGCATGCCAGAACGTCCAAATGTTCTTCTCGGACGTGATGGGTGCATGTTTCGTCAAGGCATCCAGAATCTCAGCATCAGTGCGGTTGTCGTTAGATTCAACGTACTTCAGCTGTGATTGGTATTCTTCTGGGATCTGATACATGGGATCTGTCATTATGGACGTAGAAAAGGGTCGAGCGTGCACGTTCTGATGCAACTAGTATACGTAAAGCCAAAGACGTCTGTGTATCTCGACGCGCAACTAACCAAAGCCACGACGGGCTTCTATACTGCTTGAAGGGTGGATTGTCGGTCATACGAGTTGTACAGCTCGAATTTATCTTATTAATCCATCACGGGTTTACCCGCAAGCATAGCACGACAAGCAGCTCGGCACTGTAAACATGCCTGCATCCAGCACGCAACCTCGCTCCAAGCATTGACGAATGTGCCAATGAGGCCATAAAAGGGTCTTTACCCCGAGGTAAGCGCTAGAAACAACGTCGTGTAACGATGCAGCGTTTTATCGGTCGCTTTGATCGGCAGCTCATCATGCTGATTCAGGATATGACTGCATTGCAGTACTTTTTGCCCTGCAGCAGCACGTTCGTGGACGAAATGTTGGTCTTTGTGGGTGTGTGGAAACCGTCATACTGTGACCATCGCGATTGCTGGAAAAGTAGCGGCACACCCGACATACATGTGATAAGGCACGAATCAAGTCGCACTACTTGTGCCGATTGCATCCAAACATAGGAGTCTGCTCACGTTACTCACCAAGATGATATACACTCAACATTTTATCGTACACTGTTGGTTCAAACTTGACCAAATCTACTCCCGCAACTGGAGATGATATGTACCCAACTGCTCCTCAGTCATGCGATTTGGGCTCTTCACCAGCTGATCCTCTCCTCTCCCACTCTTCGGGAAGGCAATGACATCCCTCACGCTATCTCTGCCGCACATGACGGCCATCAATCGATCCCATCCCAGTGCGATACCCGCGTGCGGCGGGCAGCCGCTCCTCAGCACATCAAGTAGATGCCTGAAGTCCTCTACACGTTCGGGCTTCATCTTGAGGATGTCTTTGAAGATGAATTCCTGCATCGCGGCGGAGTGGATACGGCGACTGCCGCCGCCAAGCTCGACGCCGTTGACGACAATGTCGTAGTGCGCTGCTACCGCAGAAGAGGGCGACGTGAGAAGGAGATCGACATCTTCGGGTGTCTTTGGAGCGGTGAACGGGTGGTGTGTTGATGAGAAGCCTGCTGAGCCACCTTGGCCTGGTTCATTGTCGCTCGACGGGGTAAATAATGGGAAGTCTGTGATCCAGACGAACTTGTAGTCTGTGGATGCGGGTGCTTCAATCAGTCCCTTTGCTATAGCTGCTTTGTAGAGAGCAAGGCGCAAGTTTCCCAGCATGGTGGAGCCGCCCGAGAGGGGCGCCTTGGGACGTGCCTGGAGGACAAGAAGGTCGCCGTTTTCCACCGCCAGCGTTTCAGGGCCCTCCATCACATATTGGTAGCCCAGTGGTCCGAGGCCTTGCATAGGCTGCGAAAGATCACCGATAAAGATACCCGGCTGACCGTCAGGGTTGTCGAGGAAGATCTTTCCGTCCGGACTGTCAAGGAAGTCGGCAACGAACTTGCGGGTTGTCTTAGGGTCGTCAGATATCGGTATCTTGATTGCATCGACGGCTGGATCTTGTAGGGAAGTGATCTTGCTGATCAAGTCGGTTGTCAGGTGTTCCGTAATTGTGTGAATCTATACTCATTAGCTGAAGACAGCTATGTCGTGTCAGCTACAGACCTTTGCCTCAAATCTCAGATCCGGTTTATCTGATCCGTATGCAGCCATTGCCTCCTGATAAGTCATCCGTGGAAACTCCTTCTCTGTCTTTTTCTTGATGACTTTATACCACAGCTCCCTCAGTAGTGCTTCAGTCTCGCCCATGACGTCTTCCTCGTTCGCGAAAGACATCTCCATATCGAGCTGTTCCAGTCAGCGGAGGCTTTAGCAGATATACGTTGGCACTGACCTGAGTAAATTCCGGCTGTCTGTCAGCCCTCAGATCCTCGTCTCGAAAACACCTAGCGAACTGGTAATATTTCGTGAAGCCTGATGCCATGAGTATCTGCTTGTATTGCTGCGGGCTTTGTGGTAGCGCGTATGCCAATCCTTTTTGCCGTGTCGGTACGAGAAACTCTCTTGCGCCTTCAGGCGTTGATTTGAACAGTAGAGGCGTTTCGATCTCCTTCCAGTTTACATCATTCAAGTGCAGTCTTGCTCTAGCCATGGCTTTCGACCGTTGAATGAGATCCGAGCGCAACTTCGAGTCTGTGCGAAGCTGTAGATGCCTTTGGTCTGGGCCGAATACAGTGTCATCCTTTATGATCACATCATCCGATATGGAGTTAAGTGGCTGGACATGCTCCACAGCGATCTCCCGGGTACTGAGCAAGTTCATACCCGCGAATGTGTTGTTCTGGGCCCCTTTACGCTCCACAAGTTTCCCCCGTACTATGACGGGAGTCCACTCTTTCAGCAACCGCAGGGTCTTATGCGCGTCCGGTCTATCCGCTTCGTCGTTCAGAGGTTTGGAGACGAGTTGGACACATGTTTCTTGGTTCCTGTGGCGGAGCATCGTGAAGGAGAGTTTGCTGCTAACATCTCGCCGTGCGCTGATATAACCAGAGACCTCAATCTTCCCGCCGGGAGGACTATTAGTTATTCTGACATTCCATTCATCATTCAGATGCTTCCACGAGGACGGTCGAACTACAACATAGTGAGCGAAGGCATTTGATATGTCGATGAAATCATACTGGTGGCCTTGAAGTCATCAAGAGTCTTTTGCAGATTTTCATCCCGATTTAGTGTTTGCGAAGTTGCGAAGCCTTGCGTTGCGTGCCTCAGACATAGGCCTGCACGATTGGGCGTAGTCCCGTGATGGGGTGTTCGACAAAACCGCGAAATCTCTGCGTAGGAGCTGCGTACGCCATTATCCCGTCTCAGCGCATGTCGTGAGGCGATTGCAAGACTCATAGTGTAACGCAGCGACTGATTTAGCTCCCTTAGGTGTCAACGCGAGTCTGACTACTCCAGTGAACGCGCAGCAAGATCTCGAAGACATGCCAAGCCGCACCCGCCACTAGCCTCATCAAGGTTAGCGTCCGCCCAGACCACGCTGCAGAAGCTTCAAAAGGTTTCCGGCGCCCACACCCAGTTCTTCTCGCTATCCCTCCAGTTTATAACAAGTAAGCCACCCCGCTGTCGCGACACTCTTTGCGCATTCACTAACGAAACCACCAGATGATGAAAGCCTAGCGTGTATCAGCTGAGCAGCTCTCCTCGTCCGCCTTTGAACTCTTCCTTTCGGGGGCTTAAGTGGTTCATTGGTAGATTTGGATGTGGTTGCATGACTTCCGCGTCCGGCACACACACCTTGTTACAAAACGGACGCTTTGACGGCATCTCTGATTCAATAAACTGGTCGGTGTCCTACAAATATCGCACGCGACGCAACGACGACGGCCCTCGCGATCGAGGCGCGCAACGACGCAATCACACACTAGGTGGAAAGGGCTGTGTATACTAAAGTGGATAGCAATACAATCAATTTTTCCATGTTGCGCATGACATGTGAGTACCGGATTTGTGATGTTGGAACAGAGGATGAGCTCTTGAAGACCTGCGTTCAGCGCGAGGCACTGAACGACATCATCGCCGCAATTACTGCGAGTGGAGAAGTAGACCATCTTCTATCAACTCTCCTCAGTCGGCGAAAGAGTAACGCTTTGTCAATTACCCCTCCACCAATACTCTATGGGAAGAGGGGCGTAAAACACTTGCGACATACCCATGCAATCGTGATTCCTGGCGAAGCCATCACCTGAAAGATCTTGGGCCTCTACGTAGCTTTTGGAAAGTGCAACTAGCGTTGTCCATATACACACGTCGACTGGCCACTGGTACCTGATGATACCATCCACCTCTATACAGCAGAGACTATGTCTCTGGTCAAGCAGACATCGAAGGTGGTCGCGTTCTACGTAGTGGCGTAGCGAAGCTTGTTGGAACTCATGTTTCGGACCCGAAAGGGTTTGTTAAATGGTCGGCGCAGTCCAAATGAGGCAGTTTGTCGAAAGCCGTCGATTGCTCGTTTCAGATCCGAACCAAAGCAAGCTCTTTCGGATCCGAGTCAAAGCAAGCTCAAAGATGGGCGTCCTCTCGCAATTGGTGTAAGCCACTCACACCACGAATGAGAGAAGTCATGGCTCGCTGCAGGTTGCACTCAGTATTGTGGAGTTTTGTATCATTTCGTAAAGAAGTAGGAGCGATCCCCTAGGTAGCGAGCCATCACCGTACCCAGTCCTTTCTATCAAGCCCGCGACGCAGCGATGCCTAGTAATCGCTTCTCACGTATGAGGACAAAAACATGCCTGAAGTATGAAATGTGGCATGAAGCAGCAAGGCCAGTACAATGCGCCATCGAAAATACCCTTCGACTGCTTGTCATCCTATGCGCTCGGCGAACGGCGTGACCGCGACCTCGAGCTAGTCGACGAGCCGGTCTATGACTCCGAGCTGCCTGACTCCGCGCTTGGTCCGTTGCGGTAGCTCGAGTCGGATGTCATCTCGTACGACGACGAGCCGCGGTTGTGGTGGGCATGAGAACGATCTTCGGGATGGTTGACGGTGTCGGATCGGTGACCATCGAGCGTCTGCATATGTACCGGTAGCGGTGCCACTGGCTTCTCAGTGTGGCCTGTGGAGGTAGAGAAGGTGCCGAAGGAGGGCATTGCTTGACGCTGGGTCATGGTAGGCTGTCTGGTACCGGATCGCAGCTGCTTCGCAAAGTTATACTCGTCTGTGCCATCGGTTGCCTGTCGAGCTACAGAGGTTTCAGCAGTGTCTATAGAGGACTACATGGGACATACCAGATGTGGCCTCGTAATGGGTAGAGCTTTGGCCAACTTCATGCTCATGGTACGCTTCACGGCCATCGTGGTCTGCGCCGGGATTGGCAGTCTCATACTCGAGCATCTTCATCAGACGGTAGAAGATGCATGCTAGAATGGCGCCAAAGAGGGGTCCAATCCAGTAGATCCAGTGATGTCCAGGCCATACACCGGTCACGACAGCTGGTCCGAAAGAGCGAGCTGGGTTCAGTGAGCCTCCAGTGAAGTATATACCTGTGTTTGTCAGCATCAATGTATTGGGATGCCTCGAAGTGTTACAAACCGGCCAGCTCCGCGATGAAGAGAGCAAGGCCGATGCCAATCGGAGCGACGAACGTCGCCTTGTGCTTCTCTGCTGCCAACATGAAGATGGTCAATAGTAACATGAATGTCAGGAACATTTCGATGAAAAGGCCTCGCGTCACCGAGGTCTCCTTGCTGAGGGTTGTGTTCACGGATAGTGGTCCTGGGAAGAGACCAGATACGACTGCAGCGGCAGTAATGGCGCCGACGAGTTGCGCAATAATGAGCAGTAAGACATTCAGCCATCCAAGCGCTCCGACAAAGCCCATGGCGATCGTAACCTAGACCTTATCAGCGTGTCCATCCTTATCAACAAGCTTCAGTACACTTACGGCAGGATTGAAGAGACCTCCACTGATGCGAAAGAAGACCCAGACCGTGACTGCGAGCGAGAAGCCGAATGCCAAGGAGATGTACAGCAGTGATCCAATGTCCATGGGCCTGCTACCGCGAAGATTGTTGGCGACCTGTGTAGCAGCGAAGGCGAAGAACAGGAAGAGGAAGGTGCCGACAAATTCACCGGCAAAGGAAATGAAGAGATGGCGCGCTCTGTTTGGCAGCCATCCGAAACCAGCGAGACGTGGCTCTCCAGGTCGGTTGGGGTCTTCAGTGTATCTCGACTTCATGCCTGGTATAACCATGACGCTTTCCGAGGGGCCGGCTGTAGACCATCATCATCAGCTAAAGACTCGTGAATACCACGAGTGAGTTTCATACATGTGCGATTGCGTTTAGGTAGGTCGTAGGTGATGGGCTCGTGAGCTGAGGTTCACAGCCAAGCAGGTGAGACGTAGGAATGATATGAGTATTAAAAAGGCTGCTGAGAGGTATGGAAGCTAGTAGTAGGACTGAATGTACGAGGAGCTGAAGGTATGAGAGGCGTGTAGGCTGGGAAGTCGAACGAAGGGAAAGACGGGAGCAGCGTGACGACACGGAGGGCGAGGGGAGAGCGCAGGCAGTCGTGGAGGTGATTTTGACGGGGTTCTTTCCGATCGAAGTAGATTTTGTCATAAAGCAGAAGCCGCGAGCAGACTCAGATGAGTGATAAGGAAGGAGCGGCCCACGAGCACAGTCTAGGTGACCGCGGCATCTCCAGAGACATTTCAAGGTTACCTTAAAGACCTCTGGAATGGCCATCGCCTCGTATTACTTTTGCTCTGCTCACAACACATTCATGTTTGGTTCACCTCCACTCTCGTCATTACAGATCCAACGCAGTGAACGTGTCCGCCATAGTCTCGTGGAAGCGACCATCGCATGTACGCTTTGGAGCCGATGAGTCGATCAACCGACGCATAGTCTGAGCGTCTTCTATCAAACTTTGCTGATTCATCGAACTTCCCATGCCGTTCTAGTATATGGAATCTGAGAGCTTACAGAGGGTTCGCAGACTAAGAATGTTGACTGTCTCCTGTCGGCGCATTCTGAAAGATCAACGGGTAAATGCGGAATTCAGACTCAGATAACATGTCGCTAATCATCAGACACTCCGTCACGAAAGATGCATTGGGGTCCGGGACCATTACGATAAGGCGGATGGGGTGTTTGGTGTTTCCGACGTTTCTAGCATGGTCGAGTGCGGGGAGCGACGCGCTTGGCACCCATCATGCGCACGCGCAGCTGCCCATCATGCCGGTGCCCCCGATCCCACCAGGGTCTCACATCGCGACATCATCGGGCTCCCACCAGCCTTTCACTCGGCAGCACGCGCTTCCTTATCGCCTTCCTCACACGCGTCTCCCGTACTGCAATCGCCGCAACAGCTCTTCTTGCACATGTGCGCCATTTGTTGTCTCGCGCCACCCGAGTAGTGACGACCCTCCCGCCTGTATTATTACCGCATCATCCATCGCTTCCTGCCCTTCACTTCGCCCGCGTGACCCCAGGCAGGACCACATCCCGTCTGTCTCCTGATCTTAGTCGATGCCTCTACACTCCTAGATATTCAGCATCATTTGCTGTTCTTCCTTTCTTCACCTGCTCCTGTCGCCGCGCGGCTGCTTCCGCAAGCATGCGCCCACTCCGCCTATTGCTTTCGCTGTCTACGAGCCTAGTCGCCCTCACGCTCCTTCTATACATGGTAGTGGGAACATCGCAAAATGAAGAACAGGAACGCATCTCAGTTGCGTCGAGCCGAGGCAGTTTCAAAGCCATGTTCTCGTCCCCATTCCCCAGCTCGTTGTTCCCTCCGTCCGCGATAATTAGTTTGACCGATGACAATTCGACCTTCTTCCTCGCTCGACCCGCTGCCTTCGGCCCCGCGCTACCCAAAGGAGGCTTGAGCGGCTCTCTGTGGATTGGCAGCGGGTTCGGAGATGATACCATGGGCGCTGGCGGCGAGCTGGGTTGCAGCGACGTTCCCGGCTGGGAAGATGGCAACGATGACTTCACACGGGCTTCACGGCCATCGGGCCGTTCCAAAGAAAAGGCCAAGGACACCAAGCCAGACAGAATTTTGTCTCCAAAGGGAGGAGTACCTGACGTTATCGAGGACAACACCAAAGACGCCGTTGCGGACGATGGAACAGACGATCATCTGCAGCCAGGGCTTTCCAACACGCGCATACTGCCACGAAGCAAACACGCCGATATACAGTCACTACAAGAGAGTGCTGAAATTGCTGGCAAGGTCGTACTCCTCAAGCGAGGGGGTTGTGGTTTCCTGGCCAAAGTTCAATGGGCACAATCGCGTGGAGGAGTAGCCGTCATCGTCGGTGACGACGTGCGTGGCGGCGCCCTCGTTCGCATGTACGCCAAAGGTGACACCTCTAATATTACAATTCCGTCCCTGTTTACTTCGCACACAACCGCGCATCTTTTGTCTTCGCTCTACCCAGGAGACGGCATGCTTTCGGATTTTGCACAGGCCTCTCATGCCAGCGCCAAGGGACACTGGCAAGGTCAGGACATTGAAGGTCATGCGACTCTTTCAGAAGCGCCACAGGTTGTACACACTTGGGCCCACGGGAAGCAAACTTCAGAGGGCCAGCGCACTAGCTGGTTGCACTCATTCCTCTCTGCATTTGGTTATGACGGAAGCAATGATTCACCAAAAGCTGGCAGCCGACGACTACCCAATAGCGGCGACCTGGAATGGGTTGAGGTCAGTGAATGGGAAGATGACCAAAACCCCATCAAGACAAAATCGGCAGCGCCCACGGCAATGCCCACCAAACTCGCTGACGGTTTCGTCATTGGCGAACATGACTGGCGGGATCCTGACCTTTTGCGACTCACTGCAACGACGATTGCATCTATAGAAGCAGCTAGCGCAACTCCAATCAGTACCAAAGCAGGTAGCAATGCCATACCTGGCAGTGGTGAGTATACCCCAGCCAAGCCAAAGACCGGTGTGAAGAGCCCTTGGAGCTGGTGGTTTGGCTCTAAACACAACACGGCGTCTCCAGTGTCATCCAGTCGTGCGCGCACAAGGAGCATTACTTCGATCATTGGTGCCAACTCTGCGTCTATCAAAACCTCCTCGCCTGCGACTAGTGCTCACAAAGGCCTGTGGGTCACGCTTACGCCCACCAATGTTTCAAGCAGTCCTTTCTTCGATACTTTACTCGTACTCGTCGTCAGTCCATTGGTCACATTGACGGTTGTGTATGCCCTCCTGCTGCTCAGATCTCGTATACGACGTCGCCGCTGGAGAGCACCCAAATCCGTTGTTGAGCGTTTGCCCGTCAGGACCTATCAGACAATAAGCGATTCGTCATCCGCAGCGACATCTAGCGCAGCTTCACCTACTACTCCCTTACTTCAGCATTCTGCAACTCGATCCCGATCTCCCGAGCCTCGGTCGCGCTCAACTACTGTGTCAGAGACCCCAGCCACGTCGACATCCGTGCAGCATGCATCTCGTGACCGTGAAGAAGAGAAGCGAGAGTCAGGGCTAGCAGCATGGAGACGACGCTACGGTGGCCGTCAACGAGAATGTGTTGTTTGTTTGGAAGAGTATGTCGATGGTGTCAGTCAGGTCATGAGCTTACCGTGTGGTCATGAGTTCCACGCGGATTGCATGTAAGTTTTTCTCTTTCATCCTATCGACACAGCCGATCTGACGTGAGTAGAACACCCTGGCTTGTCACGCGCCGGAGGACTTGCCCCATCTGCAAAGGCGACGTTGTACGTTCCTTGAGTCGGAGCTGGCACGATCGGCTACAGTCAGCATCGCCAATGCGCTCGCCTCGACTGTCTATCAGCGAAGACGAAGTACAGACGGAAGCTGCCGAGACTCGCAACATGTCACCTTCTGCGTCGCGACCTATACCCATGTCCAGATCTGGACCCACCGATTCATCTCCGCGCGATGATGATATCGAAGCCGGCTGGTCTGGGGACAACTCTCGGAGGGCCTCTGGAGAGATTCCGCGAGCTTCCGAAGCGGGTCCCTCATTACGGGAGCTAGCTTCTTCTGTTTCTACCGTAGTTTGGCGCGGCTTTGACGCAGTCCGAACGACGACTGGCCTTCAGCGACGGTCTCCGCCTGAAGATGTCGACAGAAATAGGTGATTTTGCTATTAATGAGTTACGGTTTCATATGATGGTTCTTGGTTGCATTGAAGGCCTATACCCCTGGGAAGCACACCGGCGTTGCATCTGAGCTTGCATTGGTCATAGACATAATTACACGTCAGCGAGTGGCTCGCTTGAGGGCGATTTGGCACAGCCTTAGACAACTTGCGCGCCCTACTCAATCCATAAGTCACTCCTTGTACAGCTAGTAAAAGCTACAACAAATGGAAGCTCTGTACGGGGCTGTATTGACTTTTCTTTCTTACACAAGATCACCAGTCTCGCATGTTGTTTCTGAACTGCGTAGTCTAGTACGACCAATGCGCGTGAAGACGAGCGTCGTCTGACGTAGTACGGAAATAACCAGGCTCATGGCTAGAACGATGGGTTTAGCGCCTTGGCGTCAGCGGCCCGCGTAGGTCATCCCTGAGCTTCAAATCGCCCACATTCTCTCGCATCCGTTCGTCACTTTTGCCAAATTCGTTCAGCCGTGGACCTCTCATCGTTGAGCTTTAAGAGCAGCAGACTCAATTCGTGGTCTGCTGCTACGTTCCTCACCATCAGCACAGCTTGGCCAAGTGATCCGCGGCCATACCACGTGAGATCACCACGCAACAGGAAGACGAATGGAAGGGCGCACGACGTCCCGGCTGAGAGATGGAACCCCGGGAACCCTCGACTGAATACCCGGAACGCATATACAGCACCTAATATACCCATACAGAGCTGTCGTATTCCAGCCGCAAGAGCCTCCGTTCAATCAATATGCCGTCCCACCCGGCAGGAAGCAAATGAGAGCTGACTTCAATTGCAACGTGCGACGGTGCCTGGATCCGAAGGCGTTTTCTCCCTTGATCTGTACCCCGCAATCGATAACATTATGCATGTTACGCGGTTACGCGGAAAGTTAATTAGTGCTAATTTTGGTCTCACGTTATGGTTTAGCCCTTGCTCCATGGCATGAGGTTAAATCGTCCAAACATCATTGCGCAATTACCGGATTTTCGACCGAAATAAACGTTGCCCCGTCTGACGACACTGTTGGTTGTCTTAGGTAGTGGCTGGAGGGTACTTCCTCATACGAAAAATGCGGCATCATCACACACCGGAATGCGCATGCCTAGGACGAACCGCCAAGAGCTTGAATGGCGGCTGTGAACTCGTGTTCGCCAGAACACAAAGTTTGGTGGCTTCGGAAGGCGTCGTCTGGTCTCCTGAGGCCACTCTGCGACTCTGGCATGTCTTATAGGCTTCCTTGGCGATGAGTGTAAGATGATTACGGTGGTAGGTGAGACCAAGTATGCTTTCAGGGCGTCCAACGTGCTTTCCGAATATATATCCGGTCCGATCTCTACCTACTGAACATTCGACCTCGAAGGCATCTCCCAGTACCACCTCAATTTTATTGCTTAGTGGTCTTCTTGTTTTTGACAATGAAGCTTCTCTTCGTTCTTCTTCCGCTTCTCGGCAGCGCCCTTGGGCGTGCGTTGGAGTCGCCGTCAGACAGCTGCGTAGCAACATGCCCACCGCCTAACTGCCCCAGCGACAATGCATTGGTATGCAATCTCTTGTTAAACTAGACGACGCCAATCATTAACAAAGATTGTTACAGGAAGCATGCGCGTGCCTGAATCAGCGAGAGTACGATTGTCAAGCCAAATGCCCCGAATACGAGCCCCGTATTCTCGTAAGCTACGATCTCATCTAAGGATATCACGATGCTCATCACAAATTCAGCACTGCCCTAGGTTGCCACGGCCGACATCCACGACCGTCATCGCGCCAGAGCCCACACACACCGAATGTGTGTGCGAGGAAGTCTTCTGCATCCTGTCATTCCCCGAAGGTTGCTACTGTCAAAACGATGCGAAGAAGGCTTGCTTTGAGAAGTGCGGCGGCGAGAAGCCAACATATCAGGACTGCACTATTCCAATCGACGCCGTCAAAGCTCGCGCCCCAGAGCCAGAGCCCGTTCCAGAAGCTGTACCTGCGCCAGTACCAGCACCCCAGGATGAAACTTGTGTATGCGAGGAAGTCTTCTGCATCCTTTCTTGGCCTCAGGGTTGCTACTGCCGCAACGACGCCAAAAAGGCGTGCTTCGAGAAGTGCGGTGGCGAAGAGCCGACCTACGACGACTGCACTGTGGATATCGTAAACCCCCAGCCCGCACCAACGTCAACGCCAGTGCCATTGCCAGAGCCTATATGTGTTTGCGAGGACGTGGTGTGCATTCAATCCATACCCGAAAGTTGTCTTTGCCGCAATGCCGCGGACAAAGCCTGCTTCGAGAAGTGTGGCGGTGAAGAACCGACTTACCAGGACTGCAGTATTGATGTCGCACCCCGTGCTCCAGAGCCCGTACCAGAACCAAAGCCTGAGCCTGAGGCCGAGGCTTGCACCTGTTCAGCCATCTTTTGCCCGCAGATCTGGCCCGAGTCTTGTTGGTGTGCCTACGATGGAGCGGTAGCATGTGCTGAGAAATGTGGAAATCCCCTGCCTGTCGACACCTGCCCTCCTCGCCCCATTGAAGCTCGCAAAGCAGAACCAGAGCCGGTGCCAGAGCCCGTACCCGAGCCACAAGATGAGACTTGTGAATGTGAGCCCGTTGTCTGTATAGCACTGTGGCCCCAGTCCTGTTGGTGCTTCTACAACGCGGAAGTGGAGTGCGCCGCAAAGTGTGGCAAGCCCGCACCACCTCCGTCGACCTGCCCTCCCATTCCCGTCGAAGCTCGAGTTGCAGAACCAGAGCCAGTCCCTGCGCCTATTCCTCCTCCAGAGTGCGAATGCCCTCTGGTCAACTGCATCTCAACACAGCCTGAGCTTTGTGAATGCCTAAATGCTTCTGCACAAAGATGCTATGAGCTTTGTGGCGGGAAGAAACCCGTACCCCAGGTAAGAGCCAACTTTACTCCGCGAAACATTGATTGAAACTGACAATACATCAGGTCTGCCTTCCCGACCCCAGCACAACATTCTCAACCAGCATCATACCCCTCCCAACCCCGGTCAACCCTCGCCAAGCTACCCCCACCAACCAGATCTGTGGCGGCGGTCGCGGAAGTCCTCTTCAAGAGTGTCCTGCAGGTCAGACTTGCATCACTGATCCTTTCACGCCTGGCTCCTGTGGTCCTGCTTGTGATATGCTAGGTATCTGCGTCAGCGAGAAGCTGTGTGGTGGATTTGCGGGTTTTGAGTGTGACACTCCAGGTCAGATCTGTGTTGATGATCCGAGGGATGACTGTGATCCGTCGAATGGCGGATCAGACTGCGGAGGACTGTGTGCTTGGCCGCAATGATTTATCGAGACGAGTGATTGGTGAGAAGGGCTTACAAATGAAGAACGTGTGTGTATGAGTGTACACCTTTTTGCAGCTGTCATTCTTTAGAACATTCACTCATTACTGTTAGCGGCAAGTTTCGTTCCTTTACCAAAATTGCAATCGTTTGATCTCTCTAGACTTCTACGCCAGCTGATCACGAAAACACTCCCCAATCGAACCTCCGTCTTTCGTATGTCATGCATGAAGACTATCACCCATCTCACAGTCCAAAACTCCTATTCATCTTGTTCCCCGCCTTAACAAACATCGTCATCAACACCGCCACACCGGCACCCCAAGTACCACTCCTCAAATAACTCGTCTTGTTCGTCTTAATCTTCACATACAAGATACTGTACACGAGGCGTAGACCAATATAAGATGCCACCATCGTGTTCATCGTCGCTGTTTAGTTTCATCGTCAGCATCAGTCTTCCATTGTCCACGATCCCAGCATATGAACAAAAAGCATCATCAACCACCACCACACAGAACAAGAACTGAAGCACTCACCAACATCCAATCCCACCGCATTCCCCGCTAACACCGCACCGATGAAAAATGGCGCGTTTTCCATGCTATTCTGATGACAAGCTTCTGCGCGTTCGGCTTCGGCGTAGATGGCTTCTGGGGTGCATTTTCGGTAGTGTTCTAGTGTGGAGGTGCCGCGTGGGTTGGTGTTGTTGCGCTGACCGTTTGTGGCGGCTTTGAAGAGGCCTTGCTACAGGAGGATGTGGTGTTAGTGATGAGATGGGGAAGGTGGGGTTTTTTAGGATGAAAAATGGAGGGAAGGGGATAAGGGGACGTACAGAGTATGCGTGTGGGTAGAGGGCTATGACCCAGTATATAGGGATTGCGTGAAGGGAGTAGTTTGCTGGCATGGTGGGTTGTGTGAGGTGTGAGGTGTGAGAAGTCTCCGATTGCAGGATTGCTTTCAGGAAGATTTAGAGAACTGGTTGCCTTTCATGTGCGGAAAAGGTGAGGCTTATGTATTTCGAATTTCCCCAATGTTTAGTATGTTAGTAGTTTGTTGGGTAGTCTGGTACGCGCATGGACGCGATCAGTAATCATGGGAAAGCGCAGACATCAGTAGACTATCTCGCAAGACTAGCCACGATGAACGTCAGATCGTCGCGAAATTCGGATGGAAATTCGACCGTACAGTCGTTCTGTCGCAATGTAGTTCCATTACACGCAAATTAGTATGGAGATGTCGTTGCGAAATACGCGCTACCGTGCGCGCTCTAAATAACACCACATCTCTACCACTGATACATCCGCAAACAACACATAGACACCTCTTTATCTACACTACACCCACAAGTCCACCTACAGCTTAATCTTATCCGCCATCCCCTTCCCACCCATCCACTCAATATAACTCTCAATACTCTTCTGCATCGCATCTGTCGCCTTCTCGATCAGCCCCGTGATCGGCGTTAGACCCGCCTGCTCCTTCATGACATCGATGAAATCGTTGTTAAACGCATCATTGATATTGACTTTCGCAACACCACACTCAATACACTCTTTGAGCAGCTTCTCCTGGAACCACTCTTTACCCGCACCGTGCAGCACAAGCGCAACACGATCCCCGACTTTGCTGTGTACATTGCGTAGACGGGGGTAATCGAGTTGAGGCCCCTTAGGACCGTATTTTCCATGTACGTTTCCGAAGGCGGGGGCTAGCCAGTTGATGCCTGTTGCGACGAATTCTTCAGCTTGCTCGGGTGTGGTGAGGATGGCTTCTAGACCCATTTCACTCAGATCGCCCACACCATCTTCACCACCATCAATCCGTCCCGGTTCCGCTTCTGTGATAATCCCGCGCTCGTTGCAGTACTTAACCAATTCCGCCGTCTTTTCTAGATTATCATCAAAGTGACTCATATCAACCATGATGCCATCGAAGCCATTCTTAAAGTTCGCTGCTTTCTTAACGATTTCTGGGGTTTGAGCGTGGTCCATGTGCAGAGCGACGGGGACACTGGCGTTGTCGGCGGCTTCTCGGGCGGCGTGGAGGAGGATGCCGTCGGCGTAATTGATGGCCCAGGGGAAGAGTTGGATGATTAGCGGTGCGCGCTTTGCTTCTGCTGCGCGGACGGATGCGAGGATGCCTTCAACGTTGTAGCAGCATGTTGCGCAGATGGCGTATTTGTTTGCGGCCGCGTGGGCGACGAGCTTCACGGCTTTGTTTTGGGAGAGATCGGGTGCCATGATGATGGTTGTGTGGGTGCTTCCAAGTGTAGAATTGGTATGATGGAAACCAAGTTCAAAATAGAAGAGTAAAGGAAGAAAGACGTGATATGAGCGATGATGCAACTTCCCCTCGTCGTTCCGGTTGCAATTCCGGCATTCCGATGTCTTCTCTTATGGTGGGGCTGTCGGCAACTGCTGGATAGCCTCAGCGGCGGAAACACCGATACTCGGGTTATCTGCCGGCTAATTGCAGCACTTGCTGTTGAAGATTCGTACTTGCAGAATGCCTAGTCGGGCATTACTTGCCGCGGCCTTTGCCTTACCCCAGGTTCGCTCAACTGATGCTACTTCGGAATTTCCGCTTGTTCCTCAGCACGCTGATGACTATATTGTAGAAAGAGCCATTTAAGATGGTAGGATTGTAAGCACAATCTACGCATGTTTGCTTGAGTCGCGAGGTTCCATCATTATTGAACATCATGTCGGGAACACTTCGGATAGAACCACTCCTAGACGATCGTGTACGAAACCGCATGTCCACCGGACTTCACCTCGCTCACTATAACTTTCGCCCAGCTGGAAGCTACTGTTTCCATCCACACTGGTTGGAGCTACTGCCTATCCTCGTTCACACCACATCTTCCTCACGCAGACTGAAAGATGATAGAAAACTTGTTTGAAGTTTCACGTTTGATTTCCGTGATATTTGGGCTGCTAATGTACAATCGTAATCATGAGGAATTCATCCCAGGTCAAGTGACGGCCATGCACCCAAATGGCTTTCAACCATAGAACCTTCGACTCCAGCTTCAGCCCAGAACGGTCGCCGAAGCAAATGCAAAAAAGGCACTACTCAATTGAGTGCCTGGATAGGAAGATATGGCATTCGAAATGGTCAGGGAGCAATAATCTTCAGGTTCATACTCAGATAAACCGCCCAAGCCCGCGACTATAGCATATGCCTGGCTGTCTGAGCCAACGCCACCCATAATAAGATCCCATGGTATCAAGCCGCTTGTAACGCCCCAAACACCACACATGCTCATAAGGAAATATCCGAAGTTTTGATCATAACCGTACAAATGCCGCTGAAGTCGCCGAAGAAAGGAAGTAGGTGGTCTGTGTCTCTGAGTACCGCCAAGTGAACTGCAACCGTAGCGCGCTGTAATGAACTACACAGACACGATAGTATCTAATCTGATAAGTAGCATAAAAGCCAGTCAGAGGTCCGCGTGAAGTTCGGCGAGGTTCGACATCAATCCTATAGTACACTATCAGTAGAAGAGCAAAGCAGATAGAATAGTTCAGCGAATGACGCCCCAACTATCCATGCTGCTAAGACCTCCAGTGCGCTCCTTCTTCTTGAACGCATTCCAGAAGCGAAGCGTCTCATCACCAGCACCAGTGACGATGACTTGACCATCCGGGCTCATGGCCAAGTAGAGTACACGGTAGGTGTGGCCCGTCAACGAGACGACTTGTTGCATGCTTGGGTACTTCCAGACAATGATCTGGTTCTGGCTGTAACCGTGCGTAGATACGATCTCGTTGCTGTTCTTCGACCACGCTAGGTTGCAAACTTGGCTACCAGTATCAAGACTGTTGATGAGGTTTGCTGGTGCCGTAGGCGATAGAGGTACGTTGGCAGTGGTTGCAGCTGATGCGGCCGCCGATGCAGAAGCGAGTGCTGAAGCTGACGGGCCGCTGGAGCTGACGAGGGTATTCCAGAACTTGATAGTCCGGTCTGCTGTACCACCGCCGCTAGCGAGAAGACCACGCTGATGTGGGCTCCAGGCAATGGCCTTGACAGCGGCTTGATGCTCACTCCACTTGAAAGTAGGCTCTGCGTTGAGCTTGTCCCAGACCATGAGCTTGTTGTCGTTGCCCCCGGATGCAAGTTGTTGATCTTCCTGGTTCCACTTGAGGCCGCAGACTTCCTGCTTGTGGCCAACAAGCTTGCGCAGCCACTGCTCTGGCTGACGCACGTCTCGGTGGTAGATTGTACGGTCTCGCGATCCTGAGGTGAGGATGTGTTCGTTCCATGCAAGGGCGCCGACCCTAGCTGTGTGACCTGTCATGGTGCGAAGACGGCGCTGAGTCTGCGCATCCCAGATCTGTACCTGGCCTCGGTTGGTGCCAACCGCAATGTGAGATCCCTAATGGAGATTAATGCGTGCGTAATATGATGTAGATGGCAGAACTTACGCGCTGTATCCAGTTGACACTCGTAACTGAATCATCGGCAAGTTCACAGAGCTTGGTAACGCGACCACTACTCGAGTTCCACATATAAACACATGATCCAAGTCCTACTCCTAGGGTATTTTGGCTGCCCCAGTCCACGAGGTTGAGGTAGAAATCATCTGCAAGATCCGGTGCATCCAGAACCTTGTATGGTACCTTCGAGACGGCGCGGGCCTGCCGTTGTGGGCTAAGAAGCATGCGCTGACTGCTGTATTTGATTGGTGATAGGCTGTAGAGATCTGAACGAGAGTTGAGGTTGAGAATACCATGTCGACTTGATGGCGTCCTTGACGGCGTTGGCTGGCCCGAGTATGAGAACAGGTTCTTGTGCGGGGTTGATGGAGTTCCTGAAGGCGGCGGTAACGTCGCTGTGGTTCTGGCTGGAGGGGTGTGTGAGCGTCCTGCTCCTCGCATGTTGGCACTATCTGTTGGAGACAAATTCTGAGGAAAGGCTTGAGGCACGGAGCCCTCGAACATCTCTTGTCGGAGTACAGCGGAGTAAGTGCGGTTGGCTTCTTCGGCTATGGCGGGTTAGTGACTGTATAGCAGAGGAGTGGTAAGACTTACTCTTCTGAAAGTGTAGCTCGTGATGCGGAGTGCGCCTTGCTTTGGACGGAGTTGCTGGTGAGGCTTCATCATGGAGGAGGTTGAAGCTTGCTTGGAGGTCTTGGCCTGCGCGATTTGGGATGAATCTCGGGAGACGTCAGTACGGAGAATCCAGTGTGACTAGGCTATTGCAGTCTTACCTGTCGCCATATATGCGCGGGCGCTTTCGACTTGGGCTTGCTGTGGGTGTCCGCTCCCTAACTCGACCAGCCTGTTCGATATGGCCGAGGGCTTTCGTTAATGCCGCTGCATCTATAGGCTCTGAGCCCCGATCGAGTGGGTTGGAGGGGAAGATCTGGTTGCGCTTGTGCGAGGCGGTGGGCGGTGTCTTTGACTCGGGCGGCGATATCAGTGTCGGGGTTGCGACGCCCTCTTCGATCTGCGCATTCGCCGCAGCGGTCTCTCCTGGATCGCCTCGCGCCATCGAGATGGATGCGCCTGGTTATGGGTTTGTTGTTGTGTAGACCGGTGCACTCTACTGAGTGAAGTAATAGAGTCGTGGCGGGGTGAGGGTAATCGAAGATCGCAAGTGGAGGGTATATTGCAGCTGGCGGGACAATGGTCGCCTGAAACGAAGGTGAAGGCGGGAACAATGAGGTAAATGGCGCGGTGACGTGGAGTCGTGGTATTGTGATGATTGATAGCCCCTAAGTCGTTTGCCCTCCTCTTAACCAATGACAGGTCGTCGCGGCGCACAATAGTGCAGACAATAGGTATGCTTTTTTATTCAATCTTGTTGCGCATCGAATTACGGTAGACGTGGGTATTGTCGTCGTGGTGTTGGCGGTGGGCGCGCAACGGGCGGGGTGGGCGGCGGTGACCTTGTTGTGGTTGCGGGTCGGAGCTTGTATGCTAGACAGGCGCAGGGTGCTGGGGGAGCAACGAGAGACACGGCGGGCGCACGTAAGGAGAGACAATAGTAATGGGCTGGTGCTGGGCCAGCTGAGACTATGGGAGAGAGAAAGTGAAGTTGGTGTGAAGATGTCGTCTGAATACGGTAGCGAGCGAGGTGAGGGTGGCCGCTGCGATGCGCCAGGGCAAGAGCCGTCACGTCGTGGCTGCCATATCCGCATGTTTTGATGTTCGTACCTTCCACCTCGACGCGTTCCTTGGGATCCTCTCATCCAATCAGCATCGCGCATGACCGCCAAGTGGAGTCTAGCGCTAACCTCCGACGTGCCCTCAATCGCCTCTCAATCGATACCCCACACCGCCCGCAGCCAGCTTGTAGACGTCGTGTCCAATCCTTGATGCTGCCATCATCCAAGCTGCGCATTACACTACTGCACCTTGCACCGACAACACCCCTTGTTTTATCACATCCCAACTTTATACTATCGCGTGTACGAACCATGGCGACCAAACCCTCCCTCAAAGCTGCCGAGGACTTCCTTTCTTTTGTCAATGCCTCGCCCACACGTACGTCGCGTGCTAGCCGGTCGTTACCTGGATGAACACTGACTTTAGATAGCATTCCATGCTGTTAAATCAGCCAAGGAAAGGTTAGAGAAGGCGGGCTTCAAGCAGATCAAGGTACGCAACTATGCTGTCTAAGTGTCGACAGTGGGGTATCATGATACTATCCAGGGACTCGATAGTAGAGGCAAATAGTAACGACGACTAGGAGCGCGACTCATGGGCACCCACTCTGCACCCCGGAGGCAAATACTACCTCACCCGTAACACATCCTCCATCGTCGCATTCGCTATCGGCAACAAATGGAAGGCCGGCAACCCCATTGCCATGATCGGCGCCCACACCGACTCTCCCTGCCTGCGCATCAAGCCCGTATCTAAGCGACAAGGCGATGGCTTCATCCAAGTAGCCTGCGAGACGTATGGTGGTGGTCTATGGCACACCTGGTTTGACCGCGACCTCAGCATCGCAGGCCGCGCCATGGTCCGGACAAAGGATGGCAATATCGAGCAACGATTGGTCAAGGTCGAGCGACCTATTCTGCGGATACCTACTCTGGCCATCCATCTGGATCGCCAGGAGAACTTCCAGTTCAACAAGGAGACCCAGTTGTTTCCCATTGCGGGTCTCGTCGCTGCAGAGCTGAACCGTCAAGGCAAGGGCGAAGAGATCAAGGAGGAAAGCAACGACACGGAGAGTGAAGGCCCCCTCGCGGCGCCGACCGCGAGACACCACCCGTATATCATCGACATCATCGCTGAGGAGGCCGGCGCTGAACCGAGTGACATCGTAGACTTCGAGATGGTTCTGTACGATACGCAGAAGTCGGTGATTGGCGGTCTGAACAATGAGCTCATCTTCTCTCCACGACTGGACAATCTTATGATGACGTACTGCAGTGTCGAGGGTCTTCTCAAAAGTCTTTCCGACTCGTCGGCACTAGAGAAGGATTCGACTATCCGATTGATCGCATGCTTCGATCACGAGGAGATTGGCTCCCAAACAGCACAGGGAGCAGACTCCAACCTGCTACCTGCTGTTATCCGCCGTCTCTCAGTATTACCAGCCTCCGAGAGCAACTCCGATGCGTCGTACGACAAGGTTGAGGCAGACACCGCGACCGCCTACGAGCAGACGCTGGCCACATCCTTCTTGATCTCAGCCGATATGGCTCACTCCGTACACCCCAACTACCCTGCCAAGTACGAGGCCCAGCACAGGCCTGAGATGAACAAGGGTACTGTTATTAAGATCAACGCCAATGCCCGTTACGCCACCAACTCACCCGGCATCGTTCTGCTGCAAGAAGCAGCCCGCCGTGCAAAAGCTGCTTCTTACAACCCTAAGTCAGGAAAAGAGGGTGTCCCGCTCCAGCTCTTCGTTGTCCGTAACGACTCGTCGTGTGGAAGCACTATCGGCCCTATGCTGTCGGCGGCCATGGGTGCTCGTACTCTTGATCTGGGCAACCCTCAGCTCAGCATGCACAGCATTCGTGAGACTGGTGGTGCGCATGATGTTGAGCACGCTGTGAATCTATTTGACAGCTTCTTCGAGAACTTCGAGGAGCTTGAGAAGAAAATCATCGTGGACTGACTCGATCGATCGAAGTTATAATGAACATAGTATCGCAATGCATTTGAACGTAAATTGATGCATGTATCATGAATAGACAAGTTGCAGAATCAAACACTGAACGAATGAATGAGAGGTTGTGGAATGAGTACCTTGTGAACTTCGGAATCCATCGGTACCGTTCCGCTGGATTTCAGGGTCCACGCCAAGCACCCCACCAGTGTCATCTTTCGTCCGTGTTTACTCATGCGCGAACCATAATCGAGACGATCAACATCATGGCGAAACCTCAATTTCTGTCTGGCGACAAAAGCGCCATAGACGAGTTCCTGGACAGATTCGATGTATGCGCCTAAATTCTGTGGTTGCCACTCTTTCGCTGACGAGATGCACAGGTCTTCCTCTTCGACTGCGATGGTATGCGCCAACCTTGTTCCTACAGTCATATCTTTTGCTCGCAATCACTATAGCACCCGTGACCATCTACTGATCGTGACGAAGGATAGGCGTCCTCTGGTCCGGCGATCACCTATACGAGAAGGTCCCAGAGACTCTCGAAATGCTGAGGAGTAAAGGTAAGACACTCACCTGGTACGCAACATTATTACGTCGAACTAATTGACCCCAGGCAAACAACTCGTCTTTGTCACGAACAACAGCACCAAGTCGCGCGCAGACTACAAGAAGAAGTTCGAAAAACTTGGTATCCCCGCCCAGGTGGTATGTAAGCAACGAGGCCAACGTATGGACAATGGCTGACATGACATCAGGAAGAAGTCTTCGGATCATCTTACAGCGCTGCCGTATACATTGCTCGCATCCTCAAGCTTCCCGCGCCGAAGAACAAGGTGTTCGTGCTAGGAGAGTCCGGCGTAGAACAGGAGCTCGACGCTGAAGGTGTCCCATACATTGGTGGTACAGACCCTGCATACCGGCGCGAATTCCGGCAGCCAGAGGACTTCGAGGCTATTGCAAACGGCAGTCTGCTCGATCCAGATGTTGGCGTCGTGCTGAGTGGTCTGGACTTCCACTCCAACTACTTGAAGACGGCAATCGCGTTCCAGTACCTACAGCGTGGCGCAGTATATCTCGCGACAAATATTGATAGCACGCTGCCGAATGCGCATTCCCTGTTCCCCGGTGCTGGCGCATCAGGTGCTGCGCTTGAGCGAGCGATCGGTAGGGCGCCATTGTCGCTGGGCAAGCCGAGTCAGGCCATGATGGACGCGATAGAAGGCAAGTTCAAGTTCGACCGCAGCAGAACATGCATGGTGGGCGATAGATTGAACACAGATATCCAATTCGGTATCGATGGAAAGCTGGGCGGAACTCTGGCTGTGCTCACTGGCGTCAGCAAGAAAGAGGATTTTCTGGCTGAGGGTGCGACGACTGTTCCGATGGCTTATGTGAACGCGCTGGGTGACCTCATGGGCTGAGCAATAATGTGGTTCGCGCAAGGCTGTACCTAGAGACAGGGTTGCAAGGCCATAGATAGGGTTTGGTATAGAATACAGGGAAACGATGCTAAGACTCGCGTGCCTCTGAACCGCTGGGTCTGGGATTATGGCAAGCGGTGATGACCCAATCAGACACGCGGACAGCGCGTGCGCTATATGTGGCTAGCGTGCTTCACGCGTGCACGCGAACGCGCCTGCCACTTTAACACCATCATCAAGCGTGGAGACGTGCAAGCCGCCAAACAACGCAAGAAGACCCCAACACCATGATCCGCCACGATTACTCCCGAGTCGACCCCAAGAGACGCGCGCAGATTGATCCCAAGAAGCGACAGTTTGCGAAAGCAGAATTTCAGCAGCAGAACTATGAACACCGGCTCAACTTCTACACGCTGCCACCCACCGCAGAGATTACATTGGAAGAGTTCGAGACATGGGCAATCAACAGGCTGAAGGGTATGCACCTCCCATGACGACTGTCTGATTGTGCTAACGGCGTGCGATGCAGTCCTCTCCGAACTCGAAGCATGCAGTTTCCGCAACAAAGGCCCCGAAGAGACGGCCGAATACATGAAGAGCATACTGGAAAAGTACTTACCACTGCGATCGGATTCGTCACGAAGCCAGAAACTACAAGAAGAGCGGAGGAGAGACCACTATTCACACTTCATCCTGCGCCTTGCGTTTTCGTCAACAGAGGATCTGCGACGGCGGTTTTCGAGGCTGGAGACAATGCTGTTTACGCTGCGGTTCAAAGACGATGATTTGCGAGAGCGGCAACAATTCGTCAACAGTCTCAATCTGGATTGGACAGAGGTCAAGGAAGATGAGAAGAGGGAGTTGAGGGACGAGTTGCATGCGGCGAGTGGTATTAAGAAGACTGAGGATCAGGAGTGGTTCAAGGTTGATTGGGAGAGGGTCCCTGAACTGGTCGCGCAACGGAAGGTACTGTTGAAAAGGGGAATGGCTTATGTTCCGCAACGGGAGCAGATGAGTCTGGTAGTCGCCGAGTTCACGAAGAAGCTTGACGAGGCACTAGAGGTATGGACTCCCCTACACACATGCCTGAAGGTATCGCTAACAAACTCACAGCTAACGGCACGCGCCCTCCCCCGCCTCGACGAAGACGACCGCCTCGCTCCCATCCTCGCCCACCTCTCCCAATCCTTCACAACCCCCGACGCCGCCTACTCCGCCTCCGACGCCAACATCGACGGTCTCTCTACCATCACCGCAAACAGCATTGACACACTATCCCAACACTTCCCTCTCTGTATGCGCAACCTCCACAACAGACTGCGTGACGACTCCCATCTCAAACACTACGGCCGTCTGCAATACACCCTCTTCCTCAAAGGCATCGGCCTCAGCCTCGACGAATGTCTAGTCTTCTGGCGCCGCAGCTTCAAACTCATCACCGACGAGAAGTTCCAGAAAGAATACAAATACAACATCCGCCACGCGTACGGCGACGTAGGCGGCGACGCAAACCGTCGCGGCCGCGGCTACACTCCGTATTCCTGCCAGAAGATCCTCACCGAGCCCCTACCCGGGCCTGGACAATCCCACGGCTGCCCTTACCGCACTTTCACACCTGAAAATCTGCTTACCATGTTGCAACGTGTGGGTGTCAATGATAGGGATGTGCTCAAGACGGTTAAAGAGGATGTGGGTAAGCAGCGGTATCATGTTGCGTGTAATCGCGTGTTTGAGTGGAGTCACAAGAAGGAGATTAAGAAGGTTAAGGACGAGGGGAGCTGGAGTAGTAATGATTTGGATACGATTGTGCATCCGAATACGTATTTTAAGAGGAGTTGGTTGTTGAGGCATTTGGGGGAGGGGAATGCGGGGATGGTTGGGGGCGGGGAGAAGATGGAGGAGTAGGAGGTTATGCTCTTTGTAGTATTTGTACTTCAATCAATACCAGTTCATGTACTTTCCGCGGCTTCTCGTCTTGGTGGTCTCAATTAGACAGTAGTAGCCTCAAGCGCCATGGCATCTGTGCGTTTTTCGGCTACCCGGCTCCTTCGACACGCGCGAGTTTCTGCCTAGGCAACCTTTGAATTCTTGTGTTCAGCTCGTCTTGCGGTGATCCGACTGCAGCCACGTTAATGGTACTTCGGATACAACCTCTGACTTTCTCTTCTGCCATCACTTCCAGCATGAGTTGGGACGTGGCAAAGTCCATCGAGCTGCACAATCGCATTGTCGCCCATGCATGCTCGCACCTTCCACCCGAACACCAACCCATCATCCAGCGCAACTGGTTCTCCACACACTCACTAGATCCAGCTTCCCCGGGCTTCGAATTTGATCTTGACGATGAACTCACAGAATTCCTGTCTGGGATCGATCTAGTCGTACCCAACGAAGCCAGTAATCATTTAGCTTTCAACCCAGTCCTCGTTGGCATCGTGAACCCTCACGGTCCTCACGGTTTGAGAAACCAGTCCTGGGAGTGGTCTGACGACCACGCTGATCTCATCGTGCTGTACCAGAACACGGGGTATGATCCAGCTGGGTTAGTTTACAATCTAGCAACGCAGCAGGTTGCCTACTTGGAAGACGCATTTACCTCACCCTATACACCCGATGAGATGAAGCTTCCGTGGGCTGATCTTGATGAAGTTCTACAACTCTATTGGGACTGCGTCGAATCTGGGAAGTTTGTTATAGATGCGCAAAACCCCGGGTTTGGCGAACCTGATAATCTTGCGACGCAGGGGTGGAGAGTTGAGCAATGTACAGAGAAAGAGATGGATCAGGTGCTGGATGTGTGGGGTAAATTAGTTGATGTGATCACGAAGAGGCTGCCTGCATCCGACATGCGTGGGGAAATGAACCAAGACGAAGACCAGAGAGAAGACGAAGGACCCCAGCGCAAGAAGAGGAAGAAGCACGAAGAATATTTGATCTCTACTGAGGTCTTGAACAAGTACCCGGCGATCCCACCGTTCGTGCGCACCTTCCTCTCAAGAGCTAAAAAGCCTCCCTTCAAATCTATCGCACCGCAGCTCGACGTGCCTGATGAGGACTTCATCCATCGCGTAGGAGCAGAGATTCAAAAGAGATACCACGACGCTACTCTCGAAGAGCCGCAACACGAGATATCCGAGCGTCATCTGTTTCTGCTTTTCCCATGGCGCACGCCGGGCATACAACTCATTTCCGAACGCGACCAGCAGAATTGGAAGCCCAAACATCGATCTGGTGTACTGGACAATCGCGGAGGTCTGTACATTTATTCTGATGACTTCTACTCACATTGCGGCACATTACTGCTTCCATTTCCTCTGGGGGGTAACGGTCATGTTCTGCGAGGTGATGACACCAAAGTAAAAGTAACTGAGCCGGGTCAAGATGTGCTGTATCATCGGGGCTTGGGCAATCCCTTCCTACCTGGCTGGGGAATGCCGTTGATTCCTTTACTGGTCAACTGGTGGGAGCAGGTCGAAAATGACGCCTGGGGTGTTGATGAGAATGGAGTTGCTGGGGGAGATGAGCTCTGGAAGAAGGCGGATACCGAAGAAGACGCGGAGGACTTCAAGATTCAGTGGTGATGCTTTCGAAAAGCACGACTTGAATTGCTGTTGCGCATCGTCTGCGCGACGATGGGAACGCTCGCTTGCGTGGAAGTTTACTGACACAAGCATGATTGCTGGGGCCAATACGGGACAGCGCATTACCACGCGATGCGAGTTGGTCGACAGCAGACTCATAACTTTTCGACTCATTAGAGGACGGAATGCCTAGCACTAGATGCGCAAGACACTACGAGTAGCCAAGATTGAGCGACAGTACTTCACCCACCTTCATTGGAGACAATACCCATGGATCTACACTCAACCAAGGATCTATCGTTACGGGGGATGGCTCACACATCGGCAACGTCAATCATTTCCACACCGCAGCTCAGGGATAAGCTACCCAAAAATCATGCATGAAAGATCTCTTGGCTGCTTGAGGGGACGATCCAGACGACCATCGCCAGATGCTCGAAGACCGCAAAGGACCGAAAACACTGGGCACCTGTGAGTGGGTTCCAGAAACTGCTGCATACCAGAGCTGGCTTGCCAAGTCGCCCAGTCTTCTATGGATCTTTGGAGATGCTGGTAAGGGCAAAACCATGCTTGCCCTCCATCTCGCCACCACACTTAAGGGCGACTCTTCAGCTACACATTTCGTACATTCCTTCTGCAGTTGAGACCACGGAAGGAACAGTGGTGCTTCTATTCTCCGCAGCCTTATATATCAACTGCTCTCTCAACGTCCATTGCTGTTCGAGCATGTCTTGGATGACTACGACAAGCACGGTACTAGGCTTTTCGATGACAGAAAGTTTCAAGCTCTCTGGACCATCTTCGCTCGGATGTTGCACGACCAAAACATCGCACCCATCACATGTATTCTCGACGGCTTAGACGAATGCGACGAAGAGGGTCTCGAAGACTTCTGGGTGAAGATCAAGAGCCTGTACGAACCGGCTTCTGAACAGGACTTCCGGAACTACACTCACTCTTTGAGGCTGCTTGTTGTCAGCCGCAACCACCCATACTCTATCGAGCAAGCAGTGGATACATTCCCCCGATTGCGTCTTGAACCCGACAACGAGCCACATGTCGGATCTAATATCTCCAAATTCGTCGAAGACCGTATATCCAGTTTGCGGTGCCCAACCGAAGCGCGCGAGTATATCAAGAAACAGCTGTGCGATCGATCGGAAGGAACCTACCTATGGGTCAGCTTCGCCATCAACGCTTTAAAGCAGGTGCGGGTTGTCGACATGGAACGTACTGTTGAATCTTTCCCTCGTGGGCTCGATGCCATGTACCGTCGCATATTACTGGCAATCTCCGAACATGAAAGAGACAAAGTTATAGAAATCTTGCGGTGGATCACATTCCATCCGCTAAGCCTCGTCGAGCTGGCTACGGCAGTCAACACAATCTCTGCGAGGGGTCAAACCCTGGAAGAGGATATCACTGATGAGATCGCCTATGCTGGAGATCTATTGACAATAGCGACGCGGGTTGACAAGATCAATCATGATATTGTACGAACCAGCTTTCACTAGTATATTCATCTCTACTGGACTTCCCTCAAAATGTTCCGGAGTTTGATCCCGATTTGAGAATCTTTCGCCTCCAGGCAGCCGCCACTCGTGACCGATTGATTCGTCGCCTCTTCCACTACAAGTATCAGTTCTTCCAAAGCTTTGACTCCGTCCCGAATGACGATGCTGGTTCCAAGGATCTCAGTGACTATTAAGTAACGAGTATCCAATACCCGCTGTTGGAAATTGGCCATACACAACGGCCTGGAACACATGTTTTATAGTGGAAACATGCATCGCCTCAACGGTTACCATCCGATACTTGACCCATCCGACCCGTATCATACTCCATGGTTGCAACTACAGTGTCTTACAATGTGCAAGCATCGACCGGAGAAAGGAGTCAAGCTGGCACATATCGCTGCCTTATACGTTCTGTTTGCATTTCTCAAGTACGCTCACCACCAATGTCACGTTGAGCTGGATGCCAGAGACGGTAATAATCGAACACTACTCTTTTACGCTACGGCTAGATGCCATGTGCATGTCATTGAATGGTTATTGCTTCAAGATGCCGATCCGAACGCTCGAGATTTGACCGGACAGACAGCTTTGCACATCGCTGCTTACCAGAGCCGAGCTGACATTGTCAAGATGCTCATTTTTTTATGAATCAGGAACCAGTTTCCTGTCTTCTACTCGAAACACGAAAAGTATGCTACACGAATTGGATTGTCACTTCGGTGACTTGAATCAAGATGAAGAGGAAATCGATAAAGCCTTGGCGAAATGGATTGAAACCTCTGTCCATATTGCTGCTACTATTGGCGAGCCTAAAATCCTGAGAACACTGCTCGAACGTTTTCTCCGAGAGGGGGGTTCCATCAATGAGACCAACGAGAATGGTCATACCCTTCTCCATGAACCGGCGACCTTCCACAGAGGTTTTCCGCGATCTTGTTAGGACATCTTGAGCGACTTATCAGGGCCCTCACATATTCCCACCCACATACTGGATGATAATGAAGAGTCTTCTCTGCACATCGCTAACACGAAAATGCTGTTCAGAAACTGGCGCCATGTTTGACGATGACTTCGCTGAAGATTCAGAGTCCGGACAGCCTGTTTAGAACCCTGTTATTGGACTCCTAGAAACATTTGGAGCAGCCGTCGATATTACAACTACCACTGGGGTAACTCCGCTACATCTAGCTTGCAAAAAGGGGATTCTCAAGCTGGTCGATTATCTCCTCGCTCAAGGTGCCGATGCGCGCTTGTATGATCAGTCCGGTCAAGATGCACTGCACTGACTTTGTAGCCAATAGTAACGGGACCGTGAGATGAGGCCCGCCATTCTGGATCGACTAGTACAACGAATGACATTGGAAGATATCGACGCTAACAGAGCCGATAGTCAGACCGCTCGTGACCTCGCCGTCAAACCCGATGCTGATTATCGTGAGAGAGAAAGGCGTTATGAGAATGGCCTGACGCCAAACATTGAGATGCCCGCAGAGCCAGAGCCAGAGCCAGAGCTTTTTGCGAAACTCTTTCTTTCCTGGTGGATGAGTAGTGTGCGCCGTGTTGCATTTCTGGAACTTCACGATTACATCGATTCCATGATTACCTTGGTTAAGACCGAGGCGTCAGATGAAGAAGATGCCTAGATGCAGCAAGCAGCAAGCAAGCTACCTCACATGGAACATTGCCTGGACAAGAGACGCTTGCATCGGGAGTCTGAGGCGAAGGAATGATGGCAAATGGTCTAAACAGCCCATCATGACGGGGATTCACATAATATCTGCCGGAAATGGGGAATGCGCGATAGAATAAGATGTTGCTAGCTGCTGTTCAGATGTGGTTACATGTCTAAGTCATACACAGAAGGTGTCGATGGTGAACAGTCAACAACGGGTAGTATTGGCGAACGAGTCGTATTTCAATTGATCCAAATGCATGTCAGTGACTAGCTTCAGAGATCGCTTCTTATGATATGTGAAGAGGAACATATCCTACGCCAAGCGCTCTCTCCCATTAGCGTCTACTTCTTGAATATCTCGATGGGAAAAGCATCAGCAATCGCCTGATACCCGGCAACACTCGGATGCAATCCATCACCGCTATCGTACCTCTTATCCAACCTCTCCGCATCCGCCTTATCCGCAACCATACTCGCTATATCAACCGTAAAGTCATAGTTTCCACTCTCCAAAATCCACTTGTTCACCCTCTTCCTTGTCTTCTCCCTCTCAACACCCTCATACCCGTTGCCAGCAAAAGGCGCAATCGTACCGCCGATAGTCGTGTAACCAGCCGTCTTCGCATCAGCAGCAATCTGCTTAAACGCAGCGATGAGCCGGTCACCGACAGAGGTCTGCGCGGCAGCAGTGTTGGCATTACCGCCGATGTCGTTGACGCCTTCGAAGACCATGACCCATTTTACGCCGGGTTGCTCGATGGCGTCGCGCTTGTACCGAGTTAGGAGGGTTGGGCCGAGACCTCCGCTTAGAACTGAATTGCCGCCGGCGGCTTGGTTGCAGACGGCAATGTTGGTGTGGTTGGTGGATTGGAGACGGGCGAGTACGAGATCGGGCCAGCTGCGGTGGTATTAGACGGGAAGTGGTTTGCGGGGTTGAGTAGGGCTTACCGGTTGTTCTTGTTGTCGTCTGAACCTCTTCCGTCGGTGATGCTGTCACCGAGGATCATCAAAGAGCGCGTGGAGGTTGGTACGTAGGCTTGTACTGCGCTGACGAAGTACCTACACCGTTGTCAGATTTTCCGAGACCTTACAGTAGTTCCAGATCATGACTCACCAATGCACACTTGAAGTACCGGAGAAAGTCGTAGCATTGACCTTGTCGCCACTCACAAACCAACTCGTTGTCCTACTACCTGGGTGACCGGTGATGCTGCTTCCACTCTGCCCTTGCTGACTGTACAAGCTCACAGTGAGCATGCTTTGAGGCTTGACTTCGAAGGCAATCTCGTCGCTAGTAACGACCTGACCCTTGGGTACAGTGAAGCTAGACTTGCCACCAACGGTAATGGCTGCAAGAGGTGAAGCTTGCATGCCACTGACGCCCGCTGCGCCACCTGCAGGCAGACCTACAGAGCCTGCGGTAATGGGAAGGTCGGAACCGCCGAAAGTGTTGGAAATGGTGATCTTGATCTTCGGTGCACCAACAGACATATGGAGAGTTTGGCGGAGTGTCGCATCGCGCATCACGCTTCCGGAACTCTGTGATCATATTAGAATCCCCGGAGTTCAATCTTGGACAGTTCAGATCGCATACAAAAGGCGCTGGCGGCATGTTGCTCGCTTCCACCAACTGCGGCATGCTAGTCCAGGTGTTGATCCAATGCGATCCATCCTGTCTCTTCTCAATCGCATCAATCGCTCGGCCATTAACGGTGGGTGAAATTAAAGAAAGAGCCGCAAAGGCGACGGAAAGAAGTGATGTGTAGAACATCATGGCAAGAAACAAAGTTTCAGTCGACTGGGATAGTGTTGTCGCAATGCGGCTGACGACCAATATTTGACCACTTCATCTAGTATTTCGAATTAAGCATTTCGGCCACATTGCGTACTGCAATTAGTTCCCAATATCAGCAAAAGCGGATGCTCTATTAATGCGGCGGGCGCAAATGATGTGGGGAGTCAGTTGTTCAGCGGGCGGACGTTTGGAAGTAATTAATCCGGCAGGGGATATGGTGACCGTGCTATAACCAGTGCCTTTTGTCCTTGGGAGAATAGCCGGAGGGTTGTACGAAGTTGAGATTGTTCTGTGTAGCCCTTTTATGAACGACTGCCGAAGAAGATGTGGAATCGATCCTTGAGGGTGCTCCTTTATTTTTTTGAGAATCGGGTTCTAGAAGCTGAGTGCACAGCACTGCGGCGCTGTTGCGCGGACAAGGGACATGCCCAGAGAAGCCTGGTATCAAACACGATGGGAGTACAGGAGCGCTCCCATTCAGTGTTGATGACGATAGTTGCAAGACGAAATTGATCCTTTAATGTCAAGGTACGAGAGACGGCGGAGGAGCGACACGTTGATATTCATGTTGTGGAGGCTAGGTGACAGATGCCCGCCGAAGAGAATGTGTAGATATGACGCCATGACTCTGCCCTTCAAGACGCAGCCTACTCAAAATTCCTGTACAGCACCATCGAGAGCGATAATGATCTATGCGTGGCTATTAAGATAGGTTTGGAGGTACAAAGTGTTCGATGTTTGTAGAAGATCGGTGCACCTGACGCGGTGGAGCTCCTCTATGCACGGACCGCCGCGCTTCTATGCAGCTCCTCGCCTCGCGTCCTGTTTCATCTATCGCGCCATCAGACGGTACAGAGGCGCATCCAACCCTTCATACTACGGATCATCATAATCACACGTCTTGCCGGTTCGGTATTGATCGGATGACACGTCGCAAACGTCCGATGCCTGCCGCAGGGCAAGACCAGTCGAGATCAGGTTTGTGCATCTGGTTCCTGCATCACGACGCGTATGTACTCTCCATTTCATGGTTTTGCGACACCTGAATAAATGCATACTTATCGGATTCGTAGTATCTAGCTTGATCATCTACGGCACTTGAGTGTTCATTGCGATCTCGACGGCATCCATCGCGATCCTGTCGTGTTCATAAACACCAGAGCGACTCGTATCCCAGGATATTTTCTCTTTGTTGTATCGCTCTACGGCCTTTAAAAACTTACGGTGTAGCTCTCCCAATCGCGGGAACTGTGCATCGGTACCCTGGGACTGTTTCTTCTTCGCACAGCTGATGTTCATCAAGCGCGCCAGCTCCGCCCAGGCGAGTAGCTTGAGGAAAGCGTCCTCATTTGAAAAGAAGCGGCTTCGCATAGCAGGATTCCATCCCTGAAAGAGTTGGACGGCAGGACGTACTACTCCTCCAAACCAGTCGGGCTCTGCACGATTACCTTCCCATAGACGAAAGATCTCTTCGGCATGGACATTGACGTAGTCCTTGAGTAGTCGAAGTTGCGTGACAGCAACGCCCTCCTCGGTACTACATATTATACCCTTGCTTCGCTGTGGGAATTCGAGGGTGGCCTCCTCTCGTAATGGATTGACTTGCAACTCGAAGATCTGTTCGATGTCATTGCCGATGCGTTCGGTTAAACTTCGCTTGCACAAGTACACCTGGCATATTGGGCACCTGCCGACTTTCTCATCAAGCGTGCGCAGATTATCCATGAGACATCGATCATGCATGGAGCAACCGCAAGGAGGTTCTATGACAGGATTCTTCTCTGCGTCGTGGTAAGACTTGAAGCACAACTGGCAACTTCCAGTAGGCGTAGGGTCTTTCCAAGAATTTGGCACAGCATAACGCGAAAGGAAACCCTCCTGGTTAGGAAGTGAAGACATTGTGGTGTCGGAAGCCTGATGGAATCGTGAGCTTAGTCGGGCGGTCTCGTGTGCAGGATTAGACGTACTAGTGGGTGTCTCTGTATACCGAACGCTGAAGCGTTTGGCCTTGGCTTCCAACTCCGATATCGTATCTGAAGTTCGACCTTCAAGCTTCTTTAGTGTTGCAGTATGCCGTTGGCGTGCAGGCCTACCTGGAAGTTCGACAGGCGACCTACGAGCGGAAAGTTCAACCGGCGATCTACGTGCAGGAAGTTCTGCCACTGGTCTATGAGCCGCTGAAGCATTGAGACCGTAGGAGTTCGACCTTTCGCCGTTCACGTAGAAGGTCGACGGTAGTAGCTGTTCGCTGTCCTTCTCGTACACCCAGTCAAGTGGGTTGCTCTGGTACCACTCGTCATAGCCGAACGGCGACGATCCGCTGCTCTTGATAGTTCCATCACTGGATTGTCCGCTCACTACAGATGTGTTAGCGGATGTGGGAAGGTACACCTTGTTCGTGTACAGACCAGTCACATCCAGCATTTTTCCAGCCGTTGGAGCACTTGGATCTGGATGGCTTCCGGGAAACATACCCATCGTGGCCTGGGCGCCTGCATAGACCGAAGACGCATTGAACATTGAGTCTGCCCGCTGAGCGCGTCTATACGACACTGCCGGTGAGACTGCGCGCGTAGATGGGGGAGCCGAGCCCATGGGCGTGCTATCACGCGAAGAATTTTCGGGTCGAGATACTAAAATGGATGGACGAGCCTTCTGCCATACTTGAGGCGGCATATCTGGCTCCCGTGCTGGAGTCGAAGCGCGACGACGACGGCCTGGAATATTTGAAGCTATACGCTCAGCGGTATCGCGCATCACCGTCTCCAGCGAGGCTCGTGGCTTAGCCTTCCCCCCAGCATGTCCGGATGAGCTTGGTCGCGATCTGCGCGCGTAATTGATTTTCAAGTCTACACTGGCTGAGTATGCTGGGGGCGTGTCGCCATTCACGCCCTTCCACTGGTCTTTCGTAACAGTGTTTCTGTCCTTGTGCATACAGAAGAATTCCGCACACTGCTCTACGATCTCAGGATGGCGTGGCGCGCCATAGCTATGCTTCCTAGGCTGTAAACAGCGGCATACGAAGTCTTTGTCCTGGCTGGTATAGTGGAAATCTTCAACATACACGCCCTCCATCGCCCACTTAGCTTCTCGGCGTGCGCGGTACTCCCGGAAATCGGCAAAAGCGCAGGAATCAAGGCCGTGGCGGTTTAGATACAGCATTATGCTGGCGCTCAGATGCCTCGATTCGCATGCTACGGTGGACGTCCTCTCGGCATGTCGTCCCGGATCATGACAACGGCAGACGCGGGTGCGCTCCTCGCCAACGTAATGCAAGATGCGTTCCTCTGGCGATAAAGAGGATGATGGATGGGGGTGGAAATTGTCTGCACGGCGCACTTCGACCGATCTTGTGCGCTTGCGGCGTACGTAGACATAGTTACCCTTGTTGTGCGCGTAAGACTGCATCTTATTATGCGGGCAACAAGACTTCGTGGATGGGCAAGTAGACAGGAGTGTCTACTGCTAGGCGTTGAACCGTGGTCCGTATAAAAGTACTGGACTGACTATCTAGGTTCCAGGATCTGTACTCTTCCCTGAGTGAAGAGGACAACAACTAGGTCATCCTTTCGTGACGTCGTACACGCACCAAGTATAATAGCATTGTTCGTACTGGATGACGTGACGAAGTTGGTGTTGAGCACAGGCCTGCACAATGCAATCCTTCGCAAAGGACGTTCAAGAGCGTTGTGAGAAAGACATAGATGCGAGTATTCCACGCTTCAGTCACCAGTTTACGACGCGAGGACACTGTGTTTCAGGTCTGCAATGATGGGAGACGTTGCATGTAAGTGGTGGCTTTTATTTCATCATCTATTCAACACTGTTCCGGGTCAACAAGGTCGTTTCTGTGGCCTTGCCAGGCCTTGTGCTGACGACCTTTCACAATGGCCGAAGCCACTCTTGAGAAGTCACACAGGCTCAGGAAGTGTCTTCTACAACCCCAAGCCATCATCCTCCAATAGATCATCCAATCCTGGATCATCTTGCTCGACGTTCTCCTCCCCATCTTCAAATATTCCGTCCAAGTTCGAATCATCGACCTCAGCACTCTCTCCCACGTCTACCGGTACCATGTCCTCGGCCTTTTTTTTGGACAAATGCAGGATTTTTGTCTGGAATGGCAGACGGTTCCCAGCCCTCCAATAGAGTTTGCTGTTCAGCTGAAAGCTGCAAATGCTGAGCCTTAAGACGTTTTGCCGCCCAATATTCATTGAAGCGTGGCCAATTGGGCCACTTCTTCGTACCCTCGAGACGCTTACAGCGCTTGAGTTCCCACTCGTATATCTTGACGTCTTTTGCAATTCGCTCTTGGAGCGCGGTCTCGGCGGTGGCGGCCTCTTCTTCTAATGAAAGCTCAGAATCAACTTCAGAAGTTGGTGCGACGTCCTGTTCAAGCGAATCTGGTGCCAGAATAGGTCCAGGTGCAGCTCCTGCATCGGTCGCATCATGTGGCTCCTCCCGCCATCTCTTTTTCCGTTCCTTTCTCGCTTCTACTTTCGCGCTAGCATCCGCCTTCTTTCCATTCCGAGTTTGCTTCTCTTCCACATTCGTCATCTTCTTCCACTTCTCATCTTTCCTCTGCTTGGATGCTTGTCTCTCCTCCCACGTTATATGGCTCTTATGCAACTTATTCTCCCGGACCAATTGCTCTATCTTGCTTCTCCACGTCGCAAGAGTTCTCCAGATTGAATTGTTCTTTTTCCTCCTCGTAAGCCCTACTTTGCAGCAGTTCGTTCCGTTGTCCCATGAGTGGTTGCATTTATACATTCCGGTGACTTCGTGCGGGGTGAAGTACTCGAGTTTGTCGAGGGGGTATGGAGGGACCGGGACTTTGTCCAGGCAATGTTTTCTCTGATCTGGTTTGATGGGGTCTTCCGGTGCTGACTGAGTAACAACAGGCAAAGGAGTTCTAGGGGTCTGAGACTTTGGGAGCGGCCTTTGCTGCGTAGCTGGCTTCTGCTCTGCCAGTGGTTGACCAGAAGTGGGTGGTTGAGTCTTGACAGCCACATCTACAAGGGGTATCGTAGATGCAATATTTTCGTGATACCGAGCATAATCAGCGACCATCTTCTGGTCGACTGGATTCTCGGCAGCCTGATCTGCCACTTTCTGGCTCCAGCTCGCCCTGTTTTCAGCAGTGTCTTGCTTGAATCTAGCCGCAAAGTTCACCTCTCGCTTCATCAAGTCTTCTCGGGCGATTACAATACGCTTCCAAAGACTCTGGTACTCTTTGCTAGCTGGACCACACTGGATCATTCCACGTCCTAACGCTACCATAAGAGAGTACGCGCCATAACGTTCAGAGGGGGACAGGGAGCGTAGACGCCATATATCGCGCGGCACGAGCCTATCATATTGAGCACCAAGAACAGTTCCCACAGTGCCTTGCTTGGCGGGAATAGCTGGTATGATCGTGACGGTCTTTCCTTGGAGGTCTGGAAGCGCATCCATGAGCCACTGCTCTTGCTGAGTACGCGACTTTTCTTGCACGGTCTGCACGTTTCCAACGGGAACTCGGGGACTGTGCTGGGTTTCTTTTACCCCTAACAGATGGGGAGCAGCCTGTATGACTGCGATTGGAGCAGTACCATACCGGTATTGACCTTGTACTCTTATGGCTGGTGGCAGAGATGCCGCATGCCGTGGGCCTCCGTAGTGTGGGTAAGTGTCATGAGCAGGTATATGAACTTGGTTCGAAGCTACTCGCTGTTGCTGCTGTTGCTGGAGCGGGAAGTTTGCGGCCATTATAGGCACCATAGGGTGGCTGGACTCGTAGCTTCTTACAGTCTGGGATAGAGGTAGTCCCCGCGCATGCTCAGGCTGCATCGTTGGTGCAGGCTGTTGGACCGTTGTGGGCACTGCGGTTTGGTGTTCTCCATACATAGACGCAGTCTGAGGTATATGTAGTCCCCACACATAGTCAGACTGTATTGCTGGAGCAGGGTGTCGGTTCACGTAAGGTCCATAGACTTGGTATAGATTGCCATAATCCATCTGGGGGGCTGTCGGAGGCTGTAACGGGGAGCGGAAACCGTACTGTTGGTTGTTACTGAAGCTATTTGGAGGAAGCGCATATCCTGGGTTGATCTTCTGTGGGATGAATGGGTGAGCACACGGCGGGCTCGGGTACGCGGGATTGCCAGAGGATGATGACGGCGGCCTGGGAGTGTAGAATCGGGGCACTTGAGCGTTACTACTCACGTCGCTGGATTGTTCAGGCGGCGTCCGGAGTCCGTATTGACGTTGTCGCTTTGACGGCTCGGTTGGTTCTTCTTCGTACGCGCGCTTCGATGGGCGCGATTTCGGCGCGGGTGTGAATGGTAGCTGAGACATGACAGTATAACTGCCTTTCTATGATTATGACGTGCTTTTGTTGATCAAGTACTTTTGGAAGCTCGCGAGTTCGTGATCGAAATGTTGAGCGTAGCAGTAGATAGGTAGAGGAGAGATTTAGAGGCTGTGGTATCGCCGGGAGACCAGACCCACCGTTAAGACCAGCTAACACGTGATTAATTCCGTCACTATTGTTCTGAATACGTAACAATGCTGGCAAAACGCACTTACGGTCACTCGCGAGCGGCAAGTGCTGTGTTCCTTTCACTTTCACTTCGCCCATGCTACCTTTTCGTAGGGACATGGCGGTCTACTGAGAAGCCTGTGTTGATTGGTAGGCATGCTTGATTGATGGTAATGTAGGAGAAGGGTATCAGTACTATTGTTCACATCGACAGGCCTTATAACCAAAAATGTCGTGTTGCTTACCACGTACATGAAAGCTTGTATTGATGAAACTAAATTACATATCTAGACTGGAGGTATACGTTGTCTTCTATACTACGTATCTGTTGACACAGAACACTGTCTATGCAGCAACTCGATACAGATCTTCCCTAGTCAAGTTGAGAGTCCGCAACTGCAGAATGAATTGCCTTGGGGTTGAAGCTTGTGGTCGCGCGTGTAGTTGATTGTTGTCACAGTCGTAACGGCGTCGAGACTGGCGGCTGGGGCCAGCGATCAAGAGTATGGAAGAGTGGTGGACAAGCGGTGGCGTGAACAAATCTCAGGATGGAGTCCCGATTTATACGCATACACCCGCCTGTAGTGAAAGACCTATCCCTTCCCCCCTGCACGCACATGAGCATTCACTTCACCTCTCCCACCGTCTCGACCCCACGAACAAGAAAACCAACGACCGCTCACCGCATTCACTTGTGACATAATACGATTAAACATTGACCAGCCCGAGCACACCACCTATCTATGTATATATATATGCTCCTTTCAATTGCCATTGACGCCACTTCATGAAACTTCGTTGATGACTGCTTCAGAAAAACAATGAATACGCTGATTCCGAAGAAACCCAGATTTGTTTGTAAATGCAAGAGAAATTGTTGCGAAAATGGGTTCTTTCATTACCTCAACGGCGACCCCACCCTCCCACTCCCCTCCACCGGCGTCTCGCCCGTCGTAACACGTATACTGGGTAATCTCTCCAGATTCAGATTCAGCGCCGGTAACTGCGGCGCCCTCGTATTGATCGGACTTTCGTAATTTGGGGGATCTTCGTACGCAGGCGCATCTTCCCCTGGCACCTGTCCATTGCTTCCACTCCCGCTATAACTCCTCTCCGGATTCAACGACACAACCTCAAACCCCTCCGTATTTGGACTAGGGCCAGGACTAGGGCCAGTTGATATGGAATGTGAGCGCGACGCATCCGCAAAGTCGTAATCGTCGGACCCGCGGGATTCCACAGATTGCGCAAGAGATGTAACGGAGAGGCCGCGGGCGTGGGCGTCGCGACCGCGGGATTGACCGGAAAAGGAGGCGGCGGAGTCGAGGAGGGGTCTGTTGTCGCTTTCGGAGGAGTTGGCTCTTAGGCGCGTGCCGTCGTGGCGCGCGACGCCCAAATCGCCATATGCAACAGCTGACACCCGTCTGTCGCGGCTTCGGGTCCGGGCTTGGTGCTCAGCGATGAGCATCTGGGAGACGGAGAGGTCGGCGGCTTCTTCAGCACGGCGCCGTATGTCGGCTAGGGCCTGTACGTCGCCTCGTGCGCGGGCTTCTCGTCGGGCTTGCCGGCGGGCTTCGCGGTCGGTGGCTTCGATGCGGCGGGCGAGCCGGATTTGATACAAGGATTCCATTTCTTCTTCTCGTTGGCGCTCTTCTTCGTCGACGGTTTCGGGGAGCTCGAGGACTGTGTCTACGCCGCCGCGTTCGCCTTCGCGGGCGAGGACGCGCTCGTTTTCTCGTGCAGCAGACGAGTAGGCGGGGAGTGTCATGACGCTGCGGACGGATGTGTTTCTGTCGACGCCGGCACCGGTTGTGTTATTTATTTGCCGCTCTGGGTCCGCTGCTGCTGCTCCGCTCATCTCACCACTCGCTCTGCTGGTGCTCCCCCGGTATTCGGTATCCTGTAGACTGGTCGAGTAGTCATTTCGGCGCGGGCGCTTGCGGAAGGCTTTCCACGAGAATAACGAGGGGAGTTTGTCGTTGGACGACTGTTGTGCCTTCTTTGCGGCGCGGTACGGGGCGCGGAACTTGAGCGTCGAGAAGTATGTGATGATGAGTATGGCGAGGATGGCGACGGCGATGATTCCGACCTGGGCAATGCAAGGTTAGCCAGTGCGTAGGTAAGAGTATGGACGATGGCGTAAACTTACTACGACAAAGGTCCTGCCCTGCTTGGAGATCTCTCTCCTCTCGAGGGCGCCGTCCCTTGCATGCCGCGCGGGTAACAACATGGCACCCAGACAACCATGCACCGGGCCCGTCCAAACGTGGAATGCGTTGACCAGAGCGTGTCACCGGAGTCTTGTTTTCACAATGAGATCACTTGTTTGGAGAAGTGTGGATCGCCCAGGCTGTCAAAGGCCCGCCTTCTTGGTTCTGTTTGGCACTAGGGAGCTGTCGAACCGTTGTGTCTCGCGAAACGTTAATACAAGCGGCGGGAAGCGATGTCGTGGATGCGGTTAGGATATTGAGGGTTAATGGTGTATAGTTTGGCAATTACGGAACGACCGAACAACAATGGGGGGAGAGCCGCGAGTAATGGTTTGGCTGCGTCTGCGCCCGGAACTTGGTCTTGGCAAGCTGGCTGAGTGTTGATGCGGTTGCCGGGATGGGAGCTGTGACCAGGAGTGTGGCTGGGGCTGCACAACGGGATTGGAAGATTGCAGTACGATGCAGGACGATGCAGTATAGCAGTACTGGAGCATCTTGAATCTCACATCTTCTCAACAGTTATGCAAGATGACCACTAGGTAGCGGTGACACTAACAGCATGCCTCAACGCTCATGTCATCTCCAAAACCTGCTGCTATTTTAGGCGCCATCTCCCAGATTCCAGGCTACACTAGCGCCGGCTTCTGATTGGCGCTCCTACTGCAGGATGATCGCATTCACATGTTTGATCTACAAGCCGTGGCACAGACAGACAAACGCTGGTCGCAATAGTGGTCGTGGATAAACTTCGAAATGGTAGATATGCTTTTATAAATCGTACAAATGACTACGCTGGCTAAGATACTTCCAAGATAGATACAAGAACTGGCAAAACAGAGGTATGCAAGTACTAAAACTTCTTATCCAACTTTTTCAAGAAACTGCCAATCCCCTTCTCCACTTTATCTACCCGCTTTCCGATGTTGGAGTTGCGTTGCGGTGCGTTGGGGTTCTCGTGGTTTTCCACTGAGGCTTCACTCTCCGTCGGCCTGTATAGCTGCTGATGTAGGTTCTGTCCCTGAGGTGGAGTGCCTGTGCTACCGTACTGGTATTGTGCGTAACCAGGAGAAGCCATTGGCTGGTATTGCTGGGGAGGGAATCCGGGAGATGGTAAAGCAGAATGCGCGGGAGGTGATTGGGGAGCAGGAGGGAAGCCAGGCGAGGATGGGTAGTTGGCGTACTGGTGGACTGGTGCTGTAGATGTTCGCTTCATGGCTGGCGGTGGTGGGGTGTGGCCGTTGTATTGGCCTGGGGGAGGGGCAGACGGGGGTGGTGCGAAGGATGGCGGACTTTGCGATGCACTCGGTGGGCCTGTGAAGCCCTGGCCGGGCGCTGGTGGGCCTGGGAAGTATGCCCCTGATGTCGGCTGAGGCGCGAACGAGGCTTGTAATGGGTTGCCGTATTGTACTGCATGTTGATCGTGAACAGCGGCAGATCCAAGTCCCGTACCATCGTTGGCGTCTGGCGGTGGTGGTGTCTTCTCGCGATGAGCAATTGGCTCAGGCGCGGCTGGAGCAGCTGGGTTGTATGCCATTGGAGCGTAGTTGGGTGGCTGCTCGCTCGGAGGGGGTGATGTAGGGGCGGGCGCTGTGGGAGGACCGGGGAACGACTGTGTTGTGCTAACACTTGGAGTGCGGCTTGTGTGTGAAATGGCTGCGCTCTCCAGCCTTGCGATGACTGGGCTCAGGGCGTCGTTCTTGTGTTCCGAGTGTGTTGGTGTAGCATTGGGGTTGCGCACAATCTGCATCTGGTGTGGTTGCAATACTCTTCGGATAGAGTCGAGGAAGAGGCTCGCATCTTCTGGCGTCCAGAAGTACAAGTCCACCGTGTGTAGCCTGTACATGTATTTGCCCTGGTTCGAAGGATCGGGTGTGGGGAGATGCCATTGCGATGTGTCTTGGTGAGGGCTCGCGCTGCCGTTGTGACTCCGGAAAGCGTCGACGGTGAGGGTGAACAGACATGGGTGTTTGTATGTGTGCTCGATCTTGACTGTGTCAAGTTCTATAGAGCAAGTCAGCTCGTGTTTGATGAAGTAATGTCCCAGCACTCACGGCCAGAAAAGGCATCCTGATTGGGAGTGCCCGCATGGTTCGCTACTTCTATGCGACCGCTCTGGCGCATAGGGTTGTGGTAGAGGTAGACATAGGAGCTTTTGTCGAAGCGATGGTGCGGGGGGGTCTGGGTAGGCGGGGAGATGTAGTAGTGAACGTCTGCGAAGCTATTCACAGTCAGTATAGGTTCAAGATGACCCAAGCTACCACTACTCACAGCGTCAAAAGGGATACTTCTCCCTGCTGCGGAGGCATCGTGTCAGTGTAGGATGGCAGTCTATCAGGCGTCCAAGATATCTCCAAGCCAAGATGTGGGTTATGAGGTCAGCTGTAGTGAAGTAAGACGGAAGTTAGCACGCTCGCAGCAGCATCGAGAGAGCAAAGACATATATAGGGTCGCAAGGCTGTCATCTCAGCTCCCCACGGGTGCAGCCAACAGCTGCGCGCTCTTCTATTTGCGTCGTGCTCGAAGCGCCCACCCGTTAGTGTCGAGTTTAGTAGGCGCCGGCCCAAGCTCTGCCGAATGGCCAGCGGGCAGCTCTGCTCCACCCGTGACTTGCGGACCTCCGAGCCAATCCAGAAATTTGCTGCATCGAGCATCGTCGAGCACGAGCATCCGCCGCCGACGACGCGCAATTGAACCCGGGCCTGCATCGACACCCACTATCGTACACTGTATTCGCGGTCGCTGCATACACACACCGCATCGCGCTCGCCCACCGCCGCAGCCCAGCGAGGGCAGACTCCACGCCCACCTCCGCCAGCATGTCTCTCGTCAACCTCGCCCACGTCTGCTCGCACATGCAGAATGCGTCCAAAGCCCGCCTGGGACTGACGTCAATACCCGTCTCCAAGATGCACGTCAACATCGCGCTGGGCCTGCAGCGCGAAGGCTTCCTCTCCTCCGTCACCCTCGGCGGGCCAACACCACCCAAGCCCTTCCTCCTGCAGACACAGCAAGACCCCGAGCAACACGAGATGATGGCACAGAAGCTGCAGGAAGAGCCATGGCTCGCCTACCCCGTCGACGCACCCGCCGGCACAAAACAAAAGGCACCACTCGGCCAAGAACAAGTCCACGACATACACGTACCCCAGAACCCCGCGCGGAGACGGTTATGGCTCGGCTTGAAGTACTGGCAGAACGAACCTGTCCTGAAGAATATGAAGCTGATATCCAAGCCCACACGGAGGATATGGCTGACGAGCGAGGATCTGGCCAAGATTACACGGACAAGAGAGTCGAGCTATGTGAAGGGTTTGACACGTCCGGGCGAGTGCATGTTCATCACGACGGACCGGGGGATATTGGAGGCGAGGGAATGTGTAGAGCGGCAGTTGGGTGGCATGGCGCTGTGCAGAGTGTGGTAGAGAGAGTGTGTGGCTATGGACTGTAAGACTTTATTGTACCAGTATCATGATGGGGTGGGATTGCATATATGACGCTTGCATAGAGTAACGCGCGACGCATCTGAATATCAAACCCAATTACCATGTATTCTGAGTTCAAGGGACGAATCTTGGTCGAATGCCTTAGTGCGCTGACACGATGGGCTGACTGGAGGGGTGCAAGAACCAAGTTGATGCGAGTCAACGTCACCAATAGTAAACAACGAACATCCTGGTACAAGAGACTTTACAGCACGGTCAGCCTGCTTGTCATCCCACATTGGGCACCAAATTGGCAAATTGTTGTTGTGAACTAAACATTGTTGTAGGACGTGTTTGTTGACATGTCATTCCGCTGTGTCTCATAGCATGGACTAATTCGCGACCAATAGGTCAAATGAAGCAATTATCTACAAAATTCATGCTAATCTCCGTGGCATCCCAGGATATATCCTCGTAACAAACTTTCGTGACCACGTTGCTTGCATCCCAGCATCTCAATTACCAAAAATCAAGGGGGCAATATGTCCAAAGAAATTCGTAAAGATCTGGCCATGGCCTTTTGCCAGATGTTCCCAAACCCCAACTCCAGTACCCGTGATAACCCTCATCATACATCCCTCATGCTCGTCTTAGACGTAGCTGCGGCGGCTCCGGCTGTGGCTCTGGTGAGAGTAGCGGGGGCTGCGAGAGCGGTGGCCGTGACGCGATCGGTGGACTTCGCGCTTAACGACGACACGGTCGTCACGGTGGTGGCGGTGCACAAGGAGAGCCAGGATGGCGGTGATGAAGAAGAAGATGATGTTCCTACGCAGAGGTTAGTTTCGGGGTTGCTTTCGATTTCGACAAGTAGAACACTTACATGATACCGAACGCCCACGAGGCCTTGAGCATGGCGCATTGACGGTTGGTGTCGACTCCGAATCCAGTGCCACTGACAGTGAACACACCCAAATCGGCACTGTAAGAGCCACGCGGGCCCCAGTTCGTGCAATCAGCGTCGGCAATGCCGCGAAGAGCGTAGACGCCTCCGATAAAGGCGCCCATGAAGAGAAGGTCGATAAAGGCAACGAATTTGGCCGAGTGCTTTGCGCGCGTGTAGAGGAAGAGGGTGCCTAGAGCCCATACTGCGCCGAGGACGGATACAATGAAGAGGACGAGGATAGACGTTGGTGTGAGGAGGTTGCGGCTGTTGTACCAATCGACGAACCACGCCAGCATACCCAGCGCGGGTATGAGGGTGATGATCTGGAAGATGCGCCAAAAGATGAAGGACAGTCCGGAAAACGACATGATGGCAGTTGGCAGGGGCCCAAAGGTGCTTCGTGAAAAGAAGAGTTTGCTTTGGTCGGGGCTGTCAGCTGAACCACGGTTGGGTGGTGCCGTGTAACGAAGCAGGTGCGATGCGACCAAGTGAGAGATGCAAGACGACGACAAGGCGCTGAGGAAATGCAGGGCAGCGCGCTTTTAAGATCCCGCAGCGATAACAGACCAGGATGCGTCTTGCTTTGCGATCGGGTTGCAGAATGGTCGCGGTGTTGCGAGGTGACGTATCGTCGACGGAAACCGGGATGTATACTTTAAAGTGGCATGTCTGCTCGGGTGGTGGGTATTGGTGAAGGCGGGGGAGGCTGGTATTGTGTGGCTGGATCGTGCCTTCCTTGTTTCTGGCCAACCACAACACCAAAACACCGCATTCTACGGCTACACCTCAAACACGATATGCTTCGGCGGTAGAACTGGTTTTCGAACTACTCCGCAGTACTAGAATGTGTTCGCATCTGCCATGCTTTGATTTTCGCTGCTCGCTGCTCAATGCGTATTAGTTGCTTCGCGTGGAATCACAACACACACGCCGCAGCTGAGGGTGGGCCTAGACAGCTGTCGGCGCCCAACCCGCTTCCCTCAGCCTAGACGGCACACGGGCGTCGACGTTATTCGTGGATGCTGGGCAGAACCGCCGAGCAAGCGGCCGTTGACAGCCAGCAATCACCTGAGATTCGACCCGACCAAACGTCTTTGCGCTCATCACCCAGCGTCCTGGGCCGAGCGCCCCAAACACGAGGGATACCTTGCGTGAATCCGGACGTTATGGAGCAGCACCGCGGAGCACCTAGACGTTCAAATCTCACGCCGCTCGCCTGTGCCGCACTTCCTTTGCATCGACGCCTGCGCCTAAGGATTGTTTTTCATTTCCTGCTGCATGGTGATGGGATGCGCTGACCGCCCAGAAGCACAAGAATCAGCCGGACTTATCACAGACTGCCATTCTCTGCTATCCAAGCCATTACACTGGGGTCGCTATTGGTCTCTCCACACGCACGATGCACCTCGTCCGCAATAGGGACTGCCATTGTGCTGGGCTGTTCGCTTCGCGGATCAACCTGCAGCGACTCGGTAGGATCAGTTCCTTATCAGCAGCCAGACCGCTTTCGATCACTGCTTACTGCCCTGTGCTCCACATCCTGTACGGCGGGACGAGCGGACATGGATTTTCGAGAATAGGTTCAATATATACAACACCGTACCGCTCAGCTGTCACCCTTTTTACCCCTCGCGTTTCCTTTATGCGCCTGGTGATTCTCATGTCAATTCGATTCTGTACATTTTGATGCCATTGCACACTCTCTCAGCCGTTTGTTTCTGATCAAGTACGACCACGTCTTCGGCCGGCGCATCTCGTTTCTTTCGTTTCTAGGTTCATGCGGCAAAAATAGCATTTACCGGAATAATCGAGCAAGCGAACCGCAATATACATCAAACCAGATTACACTACCACCTGCCGATTTCTTAGTCTTTCGAAGCCTAGTAAAGTGGTCGATAGCCCCTCAGGTGTATCTGAAATATCAAGCGACGTTGTGGCCTGAACAATACATTCAGTTGGTCGCCAATCCATATCTTGTCGTCGACTCCAAGAGGACATGTCGGCACGAGGCGCTCGCAGTCGCAAGGTACAACAGAAAGAAGTTGAGAAAAAGGAAAAGAAAGTTGCTGTAAAAGGAAAGGTCCCGGAAACCACACATGAAAGCCGAGATGCGTTTGCGGAATGGCGCCCACCACCAAATTCCAGCAATTCGAGAAGTGGCATAACACGTTCCTTCACAGTATCCAGCAACAACAGTCATACCACATCTCGGAGTAGTTCTACGCACGATGGGGGCAATAGTAGCAGACCACGACTAGCCACCCTTCCGTCTGACGTCTCTTCTGGATCCCGACCTCCACCAACGAAGTCATCAAAGGCGGAGTCAGTCTCGGACACTTCTATGAAAGACAAGGAGAAGACAAAATATCAGGCGAAGGGCAAAGACACGAAGGCGCCTCGTGGTAGAGGTGGGGGGGTACCGATCAAGAAAACCGTCGCGCCGTCACCAGGCCCTCCTGTCTTCAGATCTGAATCATCGGCGGCTTCCTACACCGTACCACATGACCAGAAAACATGGTTGAACTTCAAGATATGGGCAGATGGAAGAGAAGAAATGCGTCCGTACGCTGGGTTTGACTATGATGAAGACATGCAACATGGCAGCGTACTCATATACTTCAAAGAAGAGCAAGCAGATGAGGACCGCCCAATCCCCTCGATTAGGGCAGACCTAGAAGTCCTCCAAAACTCCGGGTCTACTTGGCTGAGCAACGCCCTGCTGTATAGTCTCATAGATGATAACGACGTGGATGACTGGGCTCTTTCGGAAACGACAAGCTCACCATCTCAGCCTTTCTCGCCCAATTTCCCACAGCCTGCACAACGGCGAATGCTAGGACCCACATCACCCGGTGGACGGTCACCACCGCCTTTCGATATCGATCAATCACATACCAGCATAGATTCTCGGGCAACTTCTAGGGCTTATCATCCATCCGAGACCTCTTACGGACGCCTACCTAACTCCCCGCCTCCTTTCCAGCAAGGCTTCCAACGCAATCCAACGCACGAAATATGGTTTACTGCGCCTGACAACGTCAAGACACCACAGGCACAGAGACTGCACCATGTTGCTATCCGTAATTTTCTGGCCATGTTGCATGGCAAGCCCATAGTCGGATCAGACGTGTATGATATGCTGAGTACGCTTCAGCCTCAAATACACGTCATGTACGATCTTGACACAGACACACGATCTGGAATGACAGCCAGAGAACGAAGCGTACAAATGATTGTGGAATATCTTGGCCGATATGGAATCGACGACCTGCGCAACAACATCCGACGAGCTCTTGGGCTTCTGGCTTGGGCAGAACAGGATGGCGTCAGGTGGCGGCAGGGCTACCTCGAAAGCTTTGTCCATCTAGCTGGTGTTATGACGCCAGAAATTGAGGATCATCCAGATTTCAAGCGTGTGTCAGTAGTCACGAGACGGAATCTTGGATTAGCTGCGAAAACACTGCAGTTGCGCGTCATGGAAGCAGAGGAGAAGCTGTCCACGTTTGATTTCGGTGATCTCTGGGAAGACAAATTGAAGACTGCGAACAGTCCAGTCTATCAGAGCTATCAATCGTTTCGCCAGTTCCTTATTGGACATTTCACACGCATCTACGGCAACTGGCCGCCGACTTCCGACAAGACGTGGCTTAATCGCAAGGTTGTGAATGCAATGCAAGAGGACTTTGGTTCGCTATATGACTACTTCGTTGATAGGGAGGTAATATGGAATCCTCGAGAAGAGCGGGCATCTCGTAAGTGGGAGATGGCTCACCGGAAGAACGACAACTTCAGGGCAGATCTGCCAGAGCTGGGAATGACAGATATGCTGGTCACCTATGACGCGAAGAATGGGTATGCACATATTCCGCATCCATATCCATTACTTCCAAGAGAAGTGCCAAAGACGAGTAGAGACAAGGAGAAGAAGAGCTTTTTCTCGTCGCTGAAGAAGGATAAGCCAAAAGATGCCACGAAAGATGCAAAAGCGCAACTACAGCTCTCTATTATCTTCAGCGATGCGACCAATATTGAGAAACTGGACGTCAACTTCAATGGTAATTGACACGATACTGCCCTATGATGACACGCACTGACATCTCTTAGGATCCACACTCATCGACAAGTTCGAGCAATTCGAGCTTACCACCGACCTGAAACAGATGTCACCACGTGAAGCACGTCTCGGGCGATGGGTACTCCTCTACGGTATACTACAAGTCCTATCAACCCTATCCGTCGACGTCCAAGGCCTCAAACACACCGACGGCGTCCGCTACTTCCTCAACACCGACCTGAAGCGCATGCCCGAGTGGGTAAGCAATGGCCAAATTGAGCATCTCGAAGCCCGTCAACAACGATCCTGGTGCTGGCAGCGCGCCTGGGACCCCATGCCCGCGCAATCCGCGCCTGTAGAACTCGAAGCCACATCAACCAACACGAACGAGCGTACGAACCACCACAACCACGAAGAAACTCGCCACGCCGAGATATCCGCTCACAATTTCCCCAGTCCACCGCCCCAACACGCACTTCCACCACCCCCACCGACCGCAGTATCGCACAATCTCGACGGCGCAACACTAATGCAAAACGACATCCGTCGTCTCGGCGAGAAAATTAATAACCTCTCCCTCTCCCACAATGCAGGCGTGCATTTCCGACAAGAATTCGAGCGGCGGCGCGAAAACGAAAAGGTCATTCAAGATGAATTCCACGACCGGAAACCACGCTTACAAGGCGAGACCTTTGGACCGAGGGCAGCCCGCGATCAAGTCATCAACAACGGCCATAACATCACCAGCATCAACAGAAATGACACATACTCCTCACCCCGCCTAGACTCCCTCTCTTTACCCCCTATCTCACACACGCACCCAACATCCCGCCCCCGTTCCCGGGACCGCAACCGCGACCACCCCTCCCAACGAAGCAACTCCCGCATGGACGCCACTTTCCTGCTCACAGACTCGGATTACTCGACCCCCAGCCACCATACCAACGACTTCATAGACCGGCAACAAGCTTCGCTCCTCCCACCACCACCACTATCCCTAAATCCGAACACACGTAGTCATACAACTAGTCTAAACACGGATCTAGGCAGCTACCCCTTCAGTGGCGGGGAGAATGAGAGTGAGAGTGAGATGCAGTGGCCGGTTCCGCCGGGGTATAATGAGAGTATGAGGGGCGGGGATAGGGATAGGGAGAGTACGGTTTTGGGTGATGGGTATCGGGTTATGAATTTTGAAGACGAGGATTTTGGGGGGAGAGATGGTGGGAGGAATTCGAATGCGAATGCGGCTGTGAGGAGAGCTGCGAGACGGGTGAGGGAGAGGGGTACGTGGGATACTTGAGACTGGGATTGGGTCGGAGACACTGTGGTTTAGGATGGACCAGGGGGCTGTAAGGTTTGAGTTTGGTGGAAAGAAAGGAAAGTTTGGCATGGTATCGCATGGACTTGGTTGGGCCTTTCGTGTTTGGATATACCCTTTTTGCTTTCGTTTGTGTTATTCTATCAATGGGTTAGGAGATGGAACAAAACTAAAAGGTCGTGTGTGGGAAAAAGGCTGCATAATGGTGAGAATCTAATAGTTCATTCGGATCATGGAATCTAGCTACGGTCTTCGTCAAGAGTTCCCAAACATAAATTTCGTGATCATGTACGCAATAAAACAATCCAAGCACAAAGTTGCGAAACAACTATTCAGATAGCATGATCTTTTAGGTGAGACTGTTCGCGTCAAGGCATGCCAGACACATGCGCAACCCCTATTTCTCCATCAAATTCTTCACCCATCCCGGCACAGCCGGTCTCTTCTCCCAGCCCTCCTTCCAACTCTCCCTCCACCCCTCTTTGCTCGCCGGCATAGCAAACACGGCCGTAACAAACCACGCCGTCTCCCCCTTCTTAATATCCTTTTGCAGAACCGGCAACACGGTCCTACTCTCCTGAAGATTACTATTCGCATCCGCCAGGATAACGCTTCCCTCGCGCTTTGTCTGATAAACATCCGCAATACCCACAGCACCTGTACGAGGCGAAGCCGCAAACGCAGACGAAGAGTCTGAAGCGCCGCCCTCGGGGATGGAGGTGTCTAGTGTACGAAGCGTACCGTTCCATTCGGTGAGGAGGCGACCGTCTGATTCGCGGGCGCCGTACACGGCCCACGCACCCTCTGCGCTCTTGATATCGCGGCCAGATGTCACGCGGTGGATGCGGAGATGCCAGTTCGGTGTGTCTTCCGCGGGCGGCACCAAATACGACGTGATCTCCACATCACTCCACGGCTTCATACTCGACACCAAAACCGGCACGCCATCGAAGTTTTCAATCTGCGAGTCCCCATTGAGCGCTCTCCGCATCTTCCACAGCTCGCCCCCGTCGTCGGAGAAGGCGAGTTGGGACTCTGGTACGAACTGCTCGAGTTCCTGGTAGCCGGTGGAAACAGAGTAGGCAAAGGCGGCGCTGTAGGCGAATTTTCCGTATTTCGCGTTGCTGTTCTTGATGGCGTAGTGGCAGGATTGGCCAGAGGAAAGCATGAAGCTGTGGCCGCCTGAGCGGCACACGATCTGACGGGGATGAGGTAGCGAGCGTACAACGCGCGTGTTGGCATAAGGATGGGGTTCTTCTTTTGCGGACCAGAAGGGGTGGGATTCAGGGACTGCGAGACAGGCGAAGGCGAGCATGCACCAGTAGGGGCTTTGGGGCGAGTTGTAGTTCTCCGCAAGGTAGTAGTTGGGGTACGAGTAGCCTACCGTGAGCATGCCGTTGGATTGAAAAATGTCGTGTTGCGTTGTCCACCACCGTAGGTTGCGCATCCAGATTCCTTTTACAACGCCCCAGGAGAGGGGGGCGGGAAGTTCGAGGTCTGCATAGGCGATTGCGCCCCAGAAGGCGACCATGGCCCAGCGGTATGTTAGTGAGCGGCCGAAGGTGATGGCCCGGCCTTCGGGGTCGAAGAAGTGGACGAAGTCCTGGGCGTACATGCGTGCGCGCTCTTTGTATTCCTCAGCTTGCTCTGGGTCGATGTCTGCGGCAAGTTTGGAGTAGAGAAGTTGTAGGTATTGGATTGCAAAGGAGCCTGAGTAATAGTCCATCTGACGGTAGGTATCAGGTCCGTCGTTGGACCAGCCGTCACCACGGTAATACGTGTTGAGTTGTTTGATGTCCTTTTCCAGCTGCTCTTTCGACCACTTAGCACCGTTCCTCTCGAGTCCCAGATTGGCGAAGACGCGGAACCAAAGCCTGACAAAATGTTAATATCACATCTTACGACAAATGACAGGGCAGATGTAAAGAAATCAAGGGGCCATCATACCAGTTCGTATCCGGCATCTTCTTATCATTCATACTCCCCAACCACGTCTCTACATTCTTCTTCTGCCTCTCCGTCAACGGATCCCAAAACTCTTTATTCGCAACCGCAAGCGTAAACCCAATCGGACACGTCTCCACCATCCTCTGATCCGTATCCTCCATATACCCCCAAAACTCCGGATTTTCAGGGTCCGTCCCAGAGATTAGACCTTGAACAAACTTGTCCGTTGCAGCATACTTGTTACCACCAGCTAGCAGAGGCGCAAGACCCCATAGTGGGCGAGCGAAGCCTTCGACCTGCGCACCCGTCTCGTCGAAACGTGTTCCTGTGCTGCCTACTTTGATCAAAGCATTGTTGGGTGAGAAACCCGGAATGAGGGGATCGAGCAGTGAGCCCACGGCGGCAACGACATCGTCACGCGTCTTGAGCAGATTCGTGGAGAAAGGATGGAGGTCGAACGCGCGATTGGCGTTTGCTGTCTTCGCCGTCATGCTTCCGGTGCTCTAACGATATTTGCTTCTGCAAGTGGCTGACTGCAGTACGTGACCACCACTGACGGTGAATATCCAACGCCAACTTCCGTCTTCCGGTATCTCCGCTGCGCGGACGATTATGTTCAGGCCGCTTGGCGATGAGTTTGCTAGATGTACGATGCTGGTGGATGCGTATTGGTGGTGTTAAGCGCAGCCGATGAATGCCCAGGAGCCCAGAACCCCAAGACGGTAGAACAAGATGCAGGCAGCGGATTGGGCGTACTGAGGCGAAAGGCTTGACTCCAGTTCGGTATTCGATTTCGCCGTCGTCGAGCACAATCCCCAGACACACGTTATCGAATAGACTTTCTAATGTTTGACGTTGTTGCTGTCGTCCGTGGGGTTGTGTGAGTTTAAGTGACGAATGCAACGTATTGGTGATGCGCAACCTCGGTGCAAGATCGTACCAACACAACCCCGAACCCTCTCTCATCAGCCTGAACACAATACAAAGTAGACAAGTAGACCAGCACCCCACGACCAAATTCGACAGGCCACAGACGTCCATAACCGTCCCTCTCCACAAGTCATCCACAATGCCTCTCCATCGACCCATCACGCGTCGGCGCGGCCGTGGGGCATCCCTCGCCCCGACCCCATCGCAGGTCTAATACGCGGATAAATAGCCACAACAACCGTAGCGCCTACGCTCAGTGGGGAGAACACATGTGTCGGATTACTCACCTTGCCCAACGGGGAAAGGTCGCTGGCCGTTGCTTCCCATTCCATGCCCCCGCAAGAAAACGAAGGGACAGCGGGGGTAGACCCCAGACCGTGTCGAACCTGGAGATATTACTCTTGGCGACCCTTTGATATGCAATCCAACTTGCAACGCCACCGAGCAGTCAATTGGACGGAAAAAGCTGCGGACTTGGCACTTCCAAGACGGCCTTTTATACCTCCCACTAATCCCACTGCGAGGTTTCCGCCGAGCCAAGACTGGCTCACTACCAAGCTTCTCTTCGACAGAGTGCGGCGCTCGTCCTGCATCTGCCCCATTGGCCGGAGCCACGAAGGGACGTTCATCTGATGCTCTCGGTACCCTGTCTCGGTGGCTAGCGGCAGCAAAGGGAGCTGTGTGTGGAGAGAAAGAGCAATGTGGAAACGTGGAGTCTGGGGTCTGAGTCCGGGGTGATGGAGGATCGCGATAGCTTGCAGGCCAGCCATGGGGCAAAGACCGCGGTGACGGACCAGGCGAGTTACCCCGTCTTGAGCAGGGAGCTAGTGCTGCGAGGATAGCGCATGGGCCGCTGTACCGTCTGGCGGTTTATATATCATGGGCCATGCACATCCCACTGGGGAACTTTTTGGACCAGCAATCTGCGGAGATCTTCACTCTTCTCTCGCAATTCTCCTCGAACAATCTCTGGTGTGCTGAACACCAGTGTCTGGTCAAGGGACAAGCTTGTGGTTTGATCGTTCGGTCTGTCTGTCGGTATGTGTTCGGTCCTTATGTCCCACAACAGCTTCTCCACCCGTCATACATACATACATACTGACAATAAGATAGATCTATACACCCACCGACACGGTAGCATCTCCCCCACCCATCCGACGTCATGGCAGCCCCATCCACAGGCGCGAAGTTTATTCGCATGATCGTCAAGAACGACTCCATCAAATCCGACCCTCACGAGATCTACGGATGGCGCGCTTTCGCCATGGCGGGTTCCGCCTGTTTCGGTGGCATGTTGTTCGGTTTCGATATCGGAACCATTGGTGGTGTTCTTGAATTGAAGGAGTTCCAAGAGTGAGTCTTACTTCTCCACTTCAATCGTTCCGCGACACTGACAATCCACGCAGCAAATACGATATTACCAACCTTGACAAAGTCGGCAAAGCCAACCTAAACGCCAACATCGCTTCCACCCTTCAAGCCGGATGTTTTGCCGGCTGCTTCATCGCCTCGTGGGTAGCCGACCGCTGGGGCCGCAAGACCGCCCTGCAAATCGCCGGTCTCGTCACCATCGTGGGATGCATCATCCAAGCCGTAGCCATGGGCGCCCTCGCCGCCATGTACGTCGGCCGCTTCGTCGCCGGACTAGGTGTAGGAGGCGCCTCCATGGTCGTCCCTCTTTACATTTCCGAAAACGCACCCCGTGGTATCCGCGGTGGACTTACAGGTCTCTACCAACTCTTCATCGCAACAGGAACCTGCCTCGCCTTCTGGGTCAACTACGGCTCCCTCATGCATCTATCCGGCGGCGCTCAAGTCTACATCGTTCCTCTTGCTCTCCAGGCCCTCCCTGCTGTTCTCCTCGTTGGCTGCATGGCGCTGAACAAGGAATCCCCTCGTTTCCTCGCTAAGCAGGATAAGTGGGAGGAAGCTACTACAGTCCTTGCCCGCATGCGTAACCTACCTCATTCGCACGCCTACGTCCAGGATGAAATCAAGGATATCGCCGATCAGCTTGAACACGAGCGTATGCTCGTCGCGGGTGCGAGTGTTAAGGACCTTCTTAAGGAGATGTTTACTATCCCTGGAAACAGGAAGCGTGCGCTCATTTCTATTGGTCTTATGATCTGCCAGCAAATGACTGGAACAAACGCCATCAACTACTACGCCCCCCAAATTTTCGCCGCCCTCGGTCTCAAGGGTAACTCCGTCAAGCTCTTCGCAACAGGTATCTACGGCATCGTCAAAATGGTCGGCTGCTTCGCCTTCCTCATCTTCGCCGCTGATTCTCTCGGTCGCCGCCGTTCACTCCTCTGGACATCTATTGCCCAGGGAATGGCCATGTTCTACATCGGCATCTATATGCGCGTCGACCCGCCCATCATGGGCGAACCCGTACCGGGAGCCGGATACTTCGCCCTCGTCTGCGTATTCCTCTTCGCTCTATTCTTCCAATTCGGCTGGGGACCCGTATGCTGGATTTACGTCTCTGAAATTCCCGCCGCACGTCTCCGTTCGCTGAACGTTGCCATCGCCGCTGCTACGCAGGTACGTCCTAACCTCCCCTCCGTCCACATAAAAACATATACTAACAACCTTCGCAGTGGCTCTTCAACTTCGTCGTCGCACGCGCAACCCCCAACATGATGGCCACCATGGGCCAAGGCGGCTACGGTACTTTCTTCACCTACGGCGCCTTCTGCTTCACCATGTTCATCTTCGTGTGGTTCCTCATTCCGGAGACCAAGGGCTTGTCGCTCGAGAAGATGGACGACCTCTTCGGTATTACCGAGTTGGTTAAGAACATGGAGGCGGATCGCGAGAACCACGCTGATGACATGGATGCCAAGAATGCGACCGTGGTTAGGGAGGAGAAGGTCGGTCATTAGATGGCTTGACGCTCATCTGATATGATTGTCATTGCTGTTAGTGGATGAGATTAGCTAGCCGGGCTGGGCCGGTGGGATAATGAAGTCATGGGCTTCGTGCCGCTCTTTGCACAGATTCTTTAATTTTTTTCTTCACTTCGATATGATGATGTTGAGGATGTGTGAGATGTGAACGATGGAGACGATTTGATTGAGCCAAAATGATCCATAATTCGTGATATATATATATATGCTATGCAGGTGATCATGCCGAAGCAACACCCGTACAATCCCCATGTCATCTCATCTCTCCCTCCACTATGACCAAAATCTCATCAACGCCGAACACACTTCACTTTGGAAGGTACGGCTCCCATCTCCCACACACCCATCTCCCCCTACTCCTTGACAATCTCCCCCTCATCCAAAATCCCCTTCTTAACCAGCTCCTCCGGGCTCGGCCGTCCCTGCAGTCCCTTCTCCAGACTGTCCGCGCGCATATGCATATCAAGCTCCTTCTGGTGTCCCTGTAGTGCAGGCGCGGCGTTGGAGGCAGGAAGGATGTTGCGCTCGATGAGGTCGGCGCGTTCGGGGCGGGCGTTGAGGCCTTTTTTGAGTTGGTCGGTTGCGCGTTGGCGCTCGAGTTCGAGGGCTTTGGCTTGGAGGGCGCTGTGGGGTGGGTTAGAGAGGTGGGATGGGAGGGGATGGGTGAGGAAGGGTGAGGGCGAGGGTAGGATGGTGGAGGGATGGGGACGTACGGAGCAGTCGTAGTATCCAGCAGAATGTGTCTGTTCTTCAGATCCTGCGGCTCAGGCCTGTGCTGCAAATGTTTCTCCAGACTATTACGGCGGTCCAGAGAGCGAACGGGCGAGATGGGCGTCTCGTCGACGATCACCTCAGCCGCGCTCTCATTCTTGATATCCTCAGTCGCCATGTTCTCAATCGTATTATTCGTCAGTTCGCTCGGCGATGTTGAGTAAGTAAGTCGAGCAAGTGTAAGTGCGGGTGTGATCAAAAGGGAACTTGTGAAGCTGCAGGTATGGCTAGCTCCCAGGTACTTGTACTTGAGCGCACGAGAGGGCAGCAAAGCAAGCAAGCAGTCGGGTGCCTGCCCTGCCTGAGCTTCCAAGCTCCCCATCGCGCTGCACCGCACCACCCCGACCGCGGCTTGGTTGCGGGGCAGCCGCACATCCCTGCATGAGCAAACCTTGGAAATGCGACTGGGGTCAGGCGCGTCAGGTGTGTGACGGGCGTCACCTTACGTCGGATGAGCAACAAACAAAACAGCATTGCCTCCTGCGGTTTTCATCTGACAGTCTGCCATGGCAACAGCTGCCATCCATCTTTCGTACCCTTGATTGTGCTTTGGGGGTCATCCAGGCACATAGCCACTGCCTTGATTTCGCATTCGCGTCAGCCGGAAGCCCGTACCTGACCGCCATAGAGTCCATGCACCCCAGCCTGATGTCACGATGCGCCCGGCGAGTCTTTTTACGATTTCCTCACACAAGGCGCCGAAAGGTGCAGTGTGAGGCTGCAGTGCACAGTGGGTAGCTTGGGCAGCTACCTGCGGTCGATCATCTGGGGCCAAGTGCATGAGTGGGTAATTACGGCGTTGACCGGCTTTACTACTAGTTAAACGACAAACACGCTAACGCCAAATCTACACGAGAACGCCATGTACAATCAACGTCGATGCTAACTGTAGTTAAACTTCTGTCATCTGTTTGAAAACACCCATTCATGTTTGGATGAGCAGTCACAATGTGTTTCTGAGGAAGATCTCGGGAATAGAAGAGCATAGGCATATTCTTTGTATACAATATCCTGTGTACTACAATATCAACACCAAACAAGCTAGCTACAAGAAAAAGACCGACCATCATCTATCACCTCGCATCTCACACCCCACCCCGACTTCAAGCCGTCTGACAAGCCGTAACAGTCGCAGTCTTCGTACCAGGAACTGTCGTAACATTCCGGCAGGCCTACACCAATCACACCCATAGTCAGCTTACTAGGTCCACCATTTGACGAAAAGGTATAAAGGTACGTACGGGTCCAATACCACCGAGGTTAATCGTCTCAAGCGCACATCCGGCGCAGTCGGTGTAAACGGTAGAGGTTGTTGTCGTGGCCGTGAAGGTACAGAAAATTTGGATTTCAGGGAATGTGTAGATAGTCTTGGTGCAGGGTGTAGGCGATGGGGTGGGAGAGAGCGAAGGAGGTGGTGTCGTGAGAGGCGATGAGGATGCTGATTGCACGAGGAGCGTCGCGACGGCGACGGAGAAGAGTGAGGAGAACATGGTAGTAGATTGGTAAGAGATCTTGAGCGTTCGAAGTGTATTGATGATGTTGAGCGTGACTTCAACGACGAGCCAAGCATGCCAATTATATAGACATCGGAACAAGACATTTGACTAGGTGAGATGAGATGAGGTCAAAGGGTTAATGGGCCAAATTACATCACTCGTATTGTTACTCGTACTGGTGCGGCAGCTTAGAAGAGCTCGGCGGTAAGCCGGCACGCGTTCATATGGAAGAGAGTTAGAGATCGATATCATTATCGCATTAACTATGAAACGTCCATATTATGGGCGTCCAATCCCGTGACTACTGACAAGCCTCCAACTCCGGTAATGAGAAAGTTACATCATTGAGGAGAGATACTGCCTAAAGGACAGTGAGAAGCCGAACATGCCGCGTACGCTTTTTCCATCTTTGTCAATGGTTCCGGCCCTCTTAGTCAAGGTGAACCATGCTTGTCGAATCAATCTATCCTCGAAGCATGACACAGCTGACATGCTCACGGAGTGAGACAATTGTTGTGCTGATGATGGGCATTTAAGCACCGTCATCCTCACCAATGCGGATGGCACCCTCGCGGCTGAGACCGTTGGCCCAGAAGCCGTTAAGCTCAACATCGCTCTCGCGCATGTTGGCGTGGGCAACCAAGAGCCAGGCTCCGAAGACAGCCTTGGCGAGGACATCGAGGACGGCGTAGACGATGATCTCAGTGTCAACGCTGGCCTTGCGAGCACCATCGGCGAAACCCCAGACACTGGAAGGTATTAGTATCAAATCGGGAGACGTGAGTGCTGACAAGACTTACATGGGGTAGGCAGTCCAGAGGACGGCGGTGTAGGCAGCGATGGAGATGAAGAAACCGCGGAGCTTGTCACCCTTGGCGCGGGCGTTGGCACCACCGTTAAGACCAAGGTGCCAGAAGACGAAGAGGAAGGCAATGCACGAGATGGTGTACCAGCCCCACTTCTGGGCAGTGTCCTCAGTACCGAAGGCAGCGAAGAGACCAGTCAGAACCATGATGATGTCGGCAACAATCATCATGATCATGTGTCCACCGGACATACCAGCAAGGAGACCGAGATCGAGGAGCAGGAGAGGAGTAGTGATGGTCCAGTCGACGTAACGGGCCCAGTAGACCTGGCGGTAGACAACGTTGTAGGTGTCGGGAACGTGGTCGTGCTGCTCACGCTCGACCTCCTTCTTGAGCGAGACACCAGCGCCGGAGGCCATGGCGAAGTAAGAGAGGGCAGCGGTGAGGGTGATGATGGTGGTGATGACATGGTAGAGGCGCTTGTTCTAGGAGGTGTTAGAAGGCTGCGGTCTCAAGCAGCTTCAGATGGTACTCACCAAAGGCACCTTCCAGGACATGACGGTGAAACCGGCAGAGGCGATGAGCATGAGAACGAAGACGACCCAGAGGGTCTTCATTCCAGCATCGCCGGCAACCTCGTAGGTAGGCTCAGGTCCGGGAGCAACGGTTGGGATAGGAGCTACCGAAGGCAGCAACGAAGCCGTCGCGGTAGGCAGCGGGAACATCTCCGAGGTCTTCTTCAAGACTTCCTCAATCATGATGGCGGTTTGATGTTGTGATGGGACTCCGGGACCTGTGCAGCAACAATTGGTGCTGAGGGATCGATGGGAGAGTTGACAGTGAGAAGCAGGAAGTAGGTGAGACGAGGCGGAGTTATAAAGAGGAGAAGCTAGGCAGCTATGCGGTCACCTGTTGGAGCTGCGGCAGGAGCTATACGAAACAGGAATCGAGACGTCATAGCCCCTCACGGCATGCACTATTGATTGGTTCCCGCTACGGCGTGCGTGAGAAGCAAGGATGCGCCAACGCCATCTCTGCGCCTCGAGCTTCACAATAAGGGTCTCCGCCGGCTGCGCGAATACAGCATCATCGTGAGAGAGCTGTCAAGCTGTCTGTCAATTCACTCCATCTGCCCATGTGGTTGCGACATTGAGTGCTCTCGTGGGGTGGGGCAGGCTGGCTGGCGAGAGGTACTTTGGTACATCATCAGTGCTTCATCCCGCCAAGCCGTCCAGGATGTTCCCCACAGCAACGAGCTGTGCACGCCCCCAACTGCTCCCACTGCTCCCATTCGAGCCCTGCAAACCGGTTTCAGTACCACCGATTGTATTAACTTTTCGATCTCCTCCTCCGTGCGCCGCTATGTGTCGCAGCGATGGGGCCCACGATCGCCTCGCTTCTATCGAGTTTGCTGACATCGCCATGCCCATCGAGCTGTACTCCGAGTATATGCGACGCGACCCCGCCCACTCTACATTGGCGCGCGTTTTACATTCCGTCAGTCCACAGCCCCTCACGGTGGTGTGATGTGGACCAACCATCCAGAGCTCCTCGACAGCCGAACGGCCCGGGGTGCATAGCTCTGGCACTTTATAGCCAGCATCCTAGACGGCTCTTCATTGTAGACGCGCATCGCTGTCCATCACTCCATGTGTTGAGACAATACCTAGGTACTTGTCACCGGATCACGCGGCAGTGCGGAGAAGGCGGAGGTGCCTCTTCTACACCCTCACATCAGCGCGGCCGGTCAAACCTAGATGCAGCTACCTGCTACAACTGGTACCGCGACATGCGTAGATCGACAGCCTTGTACGTTGTATCTGGCAATGCGCCAAGTAGGTACATCGCGACAGCCTCATCAGCTGAACAGAAGATTTCCACCGCTTCACCAATATGTTCAGATCTTCGCGCATGCCTGTAGTCTTGTCGGTTGTGTGGTTCGGTACTTGAAGACTTCGTAAGCATCTTACCTCCCCGAAGCCAGCCTTGTCTTTTTTTTGGCTGTCGTCAAGGTAGTCTCTATGTGACAAGGTTCCGGCACGGTTCGGAATTTCCCTTTGAGATCTTTCATCAATATCGAAGCGCCAGCTTGATCGTGCCTTCCGACTCGGGCGCCTGCATCGTAAGGAACCATTAGTCGGAACTTGCAAGAGTCGGAATGATTGCGCCGTTGGTCTTTAGGTTCAGCATCGAATGCGCGCAAGCTAGCAACCTCATTTTGACAGTCTATCCAGGAACGCGTCTAGTATTCTCCATAAGTGTCTGTTGTGGATGCATCGCATCCTGCAGTATCGCGAGACACCAGTGACCGAGCAATCTCTTCCTTCTGTAACTGGGTCCGGGTCATCTTCTATTGGCATCGCGCCATCGCGTTAACATTATCTCGGTCGAGGCATCCGGCTTCAGAAATTGTCGTAGACGTGGGCCTGTTGAGGTTTTGGCAGGTCCTAGCTCGAGTAGGGCTAATCGCGATTAGGATCGCGACTGACTAGGCTACTGAACGCACGTTCGCCGCATCGTAACAACCTCGACGTTGCACATGCCATACCAACACCATGATTGAACCAAACCCCACGCTCTTCCGCTCTCGAAAGCACTTTACATACACCTCCCCCACGAGTGACAACCACGCTCGGCTCCATAGGCTCTTGATGCTATGCACCAGTGGAATATTCGCCCTTAGCGCACCATCAGGGTACTCTGAGTAACACCCTTCTGGTATATCGCCCGCCTTCACATTGTCCAACCCGTTCTGTACTCCGTGAATCCTTCCTGGAGACCCATCAAAATACCGTCAAGCATCTTCCTCTGTCCATCAAGGTGCTTGATTGCGGCCGAAGGATCCAATATATAGTGCTTGTTGTTACCCAAGACTGCACAAGACACGCCCAGCCCAACCAAGCTTCTCAGAAGGGTTTGCTTCTCCACTGGACCATTACCAAACATCTGGGTCACTCGGGTCCACACCAACCAGAGATCGACAATATCGAAGTACATTTGTCTAAATTTGTATCGAGCGAATATTCCGTACTATCACTACTCTTCACTCAGTTGCCAGCGTTCTATACACCAACATGGCTTCTACAGCCCTCCATGTTGCACGCCTTGTGCTCCGTCAAGATGAAGGCGCAGAATCACAACCTGAGGAGGTCATCACCTGCGGCGGCGACAACGAGTACGATGGCCGCATGGGCACCCGTATCTCATCCATCTTCGTCATCCTGGTAGCATCCAGCTTCGGTGTGTACAAGAAACCCCGCCGATCTTCGCATGCTAACATCACACAGGTGCCATGTTCCCCGTTCTAGCAAGACGTTCCCGTAGCAAACTGGTCCCTAACTGGGTCTTCTTCGCCGCCAAGTACTTCGGTTCAGGTGTCATCATCACAACGGCATTCATCCATCTCCTAGCTCCAGCAAACGAAGCTCTGGGTAACGAATGTCTGACTGGTGTCATCGCCAAGTACCCCTGGCCCGAGGGCATCGCCCTAATGACACTCTTCCTCATGTTCTTCCTCGAGCTCATGACGATGCGTTACGCCAAGTTCGGCAGCGACCACGAGCACAGTCACGAAACCACTGGCATTCCGCCAGCCGCCCACGCCGACGACTTCTCCGGCAAAGCCCACGACCTCGAAGGTAGCACCGGGGGCAGCAGCGGCAACCACAACATCCGCGGCGATGACCACCTCGGCCACCAACGCGACCATGAAGCCGAGCTAAAATCCGACATGGCCCCCCGCCCCCTCGTCCCAGACGGCTACGCCTCGCAACTAACCGCCGTCTTCATCCTCGAGTTCGGCGTAATCTTCCACTCCATCTTCATCGGCCTGACCCTTGCCGTGTCCGGCGAAGAATTCATCACCCTCTACATCGTCCTCGTCTTCCACCAAATGTTCGAAGGCCTCGGTCTCGGTACCCGTCTCGCGGAAGTCCCCTGGCCCGCGTCCAAGCGCTGGACTCCGTATTTGCTTGGTCTCGGCTACGGTATCTCCACGCCTATTGCTATTGCTATTGGTCTGGGCGTTCGCCAGTCTTTTGCGCCAGAAAGTAGGACTACGCTGCTTACAAATGGTGTTTTTGATTCCATCTCCGCTGGTATTCTTATCTACACAGGTCTTGTGGAGCTTATGGCGCATGAGTTCATGTTTAGCCCATACATGCAGAAGGGGCCTGTTAGCAGGACGCTTAAGGCGTTTGGCCTCATGGTTCTTGGTGCTGGTACGTCCTGTCCTTTCCCCCATACTATTGACTTTATACTGACGTGATATCAGGTTTGATGGCTCTGCTCGGTTACTGGGCCTAGGTCGTCGCCACTTCTCGTTTTTCACACCGTTATGAAGCACTTGCTATTTTTGACTGCTTTCTTTTTGTTCGGATACCCGTAGATCAAGGCTGGCCTCGCGCTATAGTATTTCTATTCCGATGGGGGGGATGCATCACGGATGATGAGTTTTACTAGATATTCTCATACATAGACGGGTTCTTATCATGCCCAAATAGAAGCACGCATTCTTCTCATCTTCATCGCTCGCCACGTGACCCTTGCTTTGACTCACAAAAGCAGCTTCCTCCACTTCCGTAGGTAAGACGGGTGCTTCTTCAGACGGTAAAGCGACGTATATATTGGCTATGTATAAGTTTCTGCTATAAACTCTCTCTCGCGCAACTAAGTAGTAGTGGTGGTGGGGTATCATAAAAACCGAACTGACTTTGTGCACACAGCAACACGCGTAGGCACGAGCCCAAGTAAAACAGCCGAACGTCGAGATCTCTTCCAAGATCGACCCAGGCCGTAGATTCAAACATTATTGGAGTTGAACGAGAGTATGTATGTATATCGCGGCCGTGAGAAGGGGAAACACAAAACAAAGGGAATATTCGTGGGGGGCGTCGAAATCGCATTCGACGCATTGTGCCGTTGTGCGCCGGTTTGGAAGTGGAAATGCAAATGTCCTTTATGGTGAAACGCCGTTGTGCCCTATGCATGCGAAGAAAGAAAAAAAGGTGGGTATGTGCAAAGTTGAGCAAAGCAGGAGAGAGAAAATGGTGAGCTGTGCGTGCGTGCGTGCGTGGGTATGTGGGTATGTGGGTATGTGGTTATGAAGATGCTTCCAAAGCGTCAATGGACGCGTGGAGATATCTGATCCGCTCTTCGAAGGGCGAACCCAGAGGGCTGAGAGTCTCGTGTTTCTTTAGGTCGGACTCGCGGGTTGTTGCGTAGGAGATCCATGTACCGGGTATTTTGGGACGGAACTCCTTGACAGGACTTTTAGACTGGTTTGGGCCATCGTCCGTGGGTGATGCTGCGCGAGAGTGGTCGCTGTCATGTTCCATGTGTTCGAGACCTTCGAGATCTATACCACTGTCCCGGTCGATGACGCGATTGGATTGAGGGAAGAAAGGTGAGTCCAGAGCGTCGATGGCGTTGTGTATTGGACTCCAGGGGCTGAGAAGACCCCTAGATTCCTGCGGTTCGGCGGCATCGTTTTCGTCATCTTCCGCAACGAGTACGCGGCCACCAATCTTGACATCGCTAACGTGTACTTTGTACTCCAATGCCTTTTGGCCGTCTTTGATCAGCTGTTCTGTCCATCCGAGACACTTCTTGAGGCTCTGGTTCATCTTCTGGCTGTCGTTTAACATCTCACGATGTTTGGAAAGGTCGAGCTGGAGACGCTTCTCGTCCCGTGACCGGTGTGCTTCGTCCCGCTCTAGCTGTGCACTCGGGCTCAAAGCACCCTCGTCGAAAGACGACTCGCTGTCCTCTGGATCCTCCTCTTCCTCCTCAGGTGTTTCGTCCTCCTCTTCTGCTTCAGACATGTCCGACAGGTCCCCTATATTTCCAGAGCCAATGGCAGAAGTCTCAGGAGGCGAGCTGGCCATATCAGCGGAGAAATGCCCAGCTCGGCTCATGCGACGGAAGCGTCTGAGCTCCGCCTTTTGCTTTCGGACTTCCTTCTCTAATGATCGGTTAATAGCAAGGAGCGAGGAGTTGCTAATTTCGAGGTCAAGCACTTTACGCTCCCTTCGTGCATTAGCAGCAAGTTCGTTCATCATCTCGAGTGCGCTCTTGCTATCACTGTTCCTCTTGCTGTCTCTTGTTGGACTGGCTGATACCGGTGAGCCAACAGGGGAGAATGCTGTGTAGCGCCGAGACGGCGTAGGTGCTGCATCGTCGGGTACGGAGGCGCTACCGGCGGCACGATTCTCAGTCTGGAGCGGGCTTGGCTGCATAGCAGATGGTTCATTGGTCGATGTCTTCCTCGCACTCGTCACGGAATCGATAGACGACAGACTGGAGCTCTTGACATGTCCTCGCTTTATAGTAGAGGCGACGCTAGATCTCCGTCTGGTGCCATCAGGCACATCCGGCGTGTTCGACCCAGTCAACATGGCCAGAGCAGAATTCCCAGAACTGCCTCTACTGAGCGCTGGCCGGACCTGCGATGCTCCCTTACGATATGAAAGATGAGCAAAGTCTTTTGTAGGTGATGGCGGACGAAGCGACCCCCCATGTCCGCTTTCCAGGGATGGGAGCATATCTGGAGAGGTGGGGGGTGGCGGAGTGAGGATTGGCTGGCGGTCTTTTCTTTCGGAAAGGGAGTCTGCGTGGAAGAACTTGCTTTCGGGTTGGGAGTCGGCGTGGAAGAACTTGCTCTCGGTCTGAGATCTGCCCAGAGACGACAGCGGTGGCGATGGTACGGTGGGCTTCGCAGGGGGCTCGTCTTGTCTCCCGTCGGCGTAGAAGAATGTGGGCGCCTTCTTCGTGGGTGCCAGTACTGGTGCTGGTTGTTCGTGCGGACGTGCGTCATTGGCATGGAAGAACAGGGATGAAGCATCTTTCCTGCCAGCGTCGGACGGAGCGGTATTGTACATGGAGAGCGACGGCCTCGGGGTCGGCGTGACATGGCTGCTGCTTGGTCCTGGTGTACTGCGCGGTCGCCCGCCTACCGCTGATGACCCGCTCTTCCCAACGGCGCTGTGTCCACTGAATCCGCCAGTCTGCTCCCTGGTATGGTGGTCTATTGTGGACCCTGGCCGCGAGCTGCTCGGAGTGGCAGAGGGGGTGCCGCTGGGCGTAGACGAAGCGCTGTCTACGCCCACTCTAGACTTCCGCGAAGAAGAGCGAGGCGTGATATTGCTGCTCAGGAAGGGCTTGATGGGCGTCACCTCGTTGTGCGAGGGCGCCGCAGCCTTGGGCGTGGTGCCATTGCTGGTGCGGGCGGTGCGGGTGCTCGAGGAGCTGACGGTGGAGGAGGCGGTGGGCGCAACAGCAAGTCTCGGGGTCAAGGGCGTCTTCGCAGCAGTTCGGGTGCTAGCGAGCGTCGGCTTCAGCGGCCGTGGGTTATTTCGGTCGGTTCGTTCGATGGGCATCCTCTAGTGATTGCGGCTACAGTTGCGGTGTTATACTGCGGATGCGGAGGGAGATCATGGCCTTGCCGGGGGGCAATGGGCGCTGCTCGGGGGGTAATGGCGGTGTTGACGATGGTGTGTTGATAGACGCTAGTAGCGTGTCGGATGTCTGCAGGTCATACAGCACGTCGCTCTACGTGTATTGCCCCACTTCTACAATGCCAGCGGTGGAGGAGTGCAAATGGTTGGCGTCCAGTCCATGGTCGAGGGCCAGACAGGAGCAGGAGAAGGGTTCAGGTGGGGAGGCGTCTGTGTTGGTGCGAGATGAAGTAACTTTGGTGGCCCTGAGTGATCCTGGAGGGTTTCAAACGCCGCTAGGCCCCGTCGGGCGTAGACGTGAAAGCGCGTCATGACCTCTCCAGGGCCTCATCTCGCGTTTTTATGGGGCCTCCTGTCGCCCTCACAAAATGACCCCCCACTTACCATGAGCGATGCAGGGTCGGCCCATTCACCACCATCATGCGCGCAGCCTCGTCGCGCACACGTGCCCCAGCATGCCCCCAGTCACCGTAGTCACGACGCGTTCGACCTGCCTCGAGTGGCCACCGCAACCACCATGACCTCCGCCAAAGGAGATGAAGCCTCCCGGGACATACCAGAGCGGCCGCAGCCTACGCGAACCACGTCCAACGAGCACGACTCCCTAAAGTACCACCTCCTCGGTCCTTCGCTCACCAAAGCCGGTCAAGATAGTGTCGACCAGTCCAAAGTCTCCGAGGTCATCTACAATGCATCCAAGGGCTCCAAGTTCTTCAACAATGAGGAGGTCAAGGACAAGAACCTCACAGAGAAGATCAATAAGATTATGGAAAAGAGACGCCAGCTGGAGAAGATCGACTTGACCTCCGACCAGCGTAGAGCCGATGACTACATCGCTGAGTTGGAACTGAGTAGGGACCTGAGCCAGGTTATTGTACACCTCGACTGCGATGCTTTCTATGCAGCAGTCGAAGAGCTAGATCGACCGGAACTGAGAGACGTTCCGTTCGCAGTCGGCAAGGGCGTGCTGACAACCTGCAACTACCATGCACGCAAGTTTGGGTGCCGCTCCGGTATGGCCGGGTTTGTCGCCATGAAACTATGTCCACAGCTCATCTGCGTTCCTATGAATTTTGCGAAATACATGGCCAAGGCAGAAGAGGTCCGCGAAGTACTGGCGCTATACGACCCCGACTTCCAAAGTGCGAGCTGCGACGAGGCGTACCTCAATCTGACAGAATACTGCCGGGAGCACCACATGACACCTGAGGAAGCTGTCAGCCAATTGCGCGCAGACGTCTTTGAAAGAGCCAAGATCACTGTCTCCGCTGGCATCGCCGCTAATGCCAAACTCGCAAAGATTTGCTCAAATCAGAACAAGCCAAACGGGCAGTTTCTGCTTCACAGCGACAGGCAGACGATCATGGAATTCATGAAGACCCTACCTACACGGAAGGTCAACGGTATCGGGCGCGTCTTCGAACGAGAGCTGGATGCCATAGGCGTCAAGACATGCGGCGACATCTACGCACATCGAGCGTACATGGCAAAGCTATTTGGACAGAAAGCATTCCAGTTCTTGATGCAGTGCTATTTAGGCCTAGGACGTACCGTCGTCAAGCCAGCGGAAGACCATGAACGCAAGAGTGTCGGTACGGAGACTACCTTCAGAGAGCTACAGGGCCGCGATGCCCTGCGCGATAAGCTTCGCCATATCGCTGAGGAATTAGAAGGGGATCTCAAACGCACCGAGTACAAAGGAAGGACGCTCTGCATCAAGATCAAGCTCCACACCTACGAAGTACACACGCGACAGACGACCCCACCTTTTGCTATTCACAAAGCAGACGACCTCTTCAAGTACAGTCTCCCGATGCTAGAGAAGCTCATGAAAGAAATACCAAACATGAAACTACGCCTAATGGGTCTACGAGTCACGCACATCATCAGCACGAAGAAACCTGGAATCGACTTCTTCGGCCGCGCAGCCAAGCCATCTTCAACCGCCACCAAGACTACCAGCTCCAAAGACGAAGGAACATGGGAGACATGGCCTGAGGAAGAGTTCGAAGAAGCTGCACGACAAGAACGAAATAACGAAATGAACGAACTGGAGAAACTGTCTCAAGAACAAGAGCAACAGCAAGATGACCAGCCACCAACCGAACCACAATGGCAGTGCCCCATTTGCTCTATTCCACAGGCGCCAGATGATGCAAGCTTCAACGCGCATATAGACTTTTGCCTTTCGAAACAGACTATCAAGGAGGCTGTCAAGTCTACAACACCGCTGCCGTCCCCACCGCCAGCTTTCGAGAAGCAGTCTAGTGTCTCCAAGACGATTTCGAAGAAGGGCAAGCGCGGTCGACCCAAGAACGAAGGCACGTCCTCAGAGCAGGAAGCGAGGGAGAAGAGACGAGCGTTCTTTACGCTTGGGAATGGATGATTTAGCATCTCACTGGAATCAAATATAGGTAATGCAGAAGTTAATCGACTATTGGGAATGTTGTCGCCAGTTTTCGCGCGTGTGATGTAATCGGGACGAGAACGTGGGACAACCTCAAATCCCGACTGTGCCGCTTGAATGCATACATGAGCGTCCGTACCACACAGTTGGATCTAAAACGATGAGCTACAACACACGATTATAGCTCACAGCTTCTAACGTATCGCTGCAATACGCGCATGCTATGCCGAGTATGATGTCATTCGCGCGTCTGACTAGCCAGCACTCCTGGAAGAACGCAGAGAATCTGTCTCTTCGCATCCTTGCACCGGTGTGTATTACACAGCCTCTTCTGAGACGGCTCGACTGCACATCGCACAGCATGCCGCAATGAGTTACAGATCATCTGCATGCAAATGTCGGCGCTTATTTCCGGTATAACCAAGGACTCCTGAATGGTCGGTATGACCATACGCGTAAGCTATTCGGAACGCATGTGGGCGTTTTCAGCCTCGCAACTGCTGCCTTATCACCGGTGAAGGTATATATTGCCCAAGATTCTTTCGGAATGAGGAGTTCCCAACAACGATTTTAAGCATCTTACTGAAACAGCAGCGGATTTCTTGGATGTCAGTCCAAGAAACGAGCGAGCAAATACTACAATTTACAGCAAAGAGAAGAAGATTGACATTCGCAAATCCGATTATCACAACGGAACATCAACCATGGAGAACGATCTAATGAACACTGCGACATCTGTAGGATCAGATTTCTTTGGAGAGATGGCGAAAATCTCAGAACACACCTTTGAGCGAGCGGATGCTCGACACTGGGCGTCAAGGCGCATCCGCTTCTTGGTCTATGATGACTCCGATGCCAAACTTAACGATTTCGACAGTGACGACGAAGAAGCGAAGGAACAATACGCTTTAAACTTGAGTCTTGGAAATGTCAAAGCCCGAGACCCAGAAGGTGGTGGCGAGGCTCCAAATGCAGAGAGAGTCGGTGTGGCTGAACGCTCGAAACAACCCAACGATTCCACACAGACTAAATGCCGCGTTTGCGCATCATATCCCGAGTTCCCGCACAGGTGGAAGCCTAGAAAGTTTCGTCTGGTCAATCCGGTGCTTGATCATCCGGAATGGTTCAATGGGGACGGCATCAGCTCGTGCGACATATGTATACACTACGTAGCAGTGTCATACTGCTGGCCTCCTCGTGGAGAAAACCCGACACCGAGAACCTACACAGTCCGTGGTCTCGACGGACGCGTCCGCGCCAGTCGCGCTCTCGACGATGTTCTAGATCGTGCTGTGGACTTTGCCAATTCATACGGATTTCGTATGATATGGATCGATCAAGAATGCCTTCCCCAGCCGACTGAAAACAGCCCGAAAGAAGATTGGGAAGAGCAGGAACTTGGAATACAGTCGATGGACATTGTGTACAACAGAGCTGCGGTCACGGCGGGTTTGCTCGACGTCGAAATCATATCGCAAGAGCAACTCACAGCTATCGAGACTTTGTTATATCCTGACCAAAGAAGAAAGTCAAGTATAATCGACCGCCGCTTCTGCGAACAAATCCTGGACTTTCTTCATAGAACCAGTCAAGACCGTTGGTACACCCGTGCGTGGGTTGTCCAAGAGGCCACATGTTCCGGAGACGGACTGATGCTGGCTTTCCGGCGCGGTCCAGGCCTTATCTTCCAATCTAGCTTTCGATTTGGGCGAGCGGAGGGAGAGGATCTTCGTCCTTACCATTCACTCGACGGTAATCGTGGGATCTGGGATTCAAAGCTCGTCTGCATGCACTTGCGTGGATTCTGGCGCATTCTCGATCAGATGCAATCTTTGCTTACACGCGACTTTGTTCACATGGGAAACTATCTTGCCCGGTATGGGCTCGGGTCAGAAGAAGTCTACCCGGGAGCTCGATCCGTGCTTGAAGTAGCAGATCGTCTCCATCCAAGAACCGAGAAAGCAAACACAATCAATCAGATCGTACAAGCTCACACCGAGGGGTTCTACGGGAAGCGTCCTACGATCAATGCCGCGGGAGCTCTGACATTGCTGAAGCATCGCGAATGTTACTTCAATGCTGACAGGCTTGCTATTATAGCGAATATGTGCGATTACGACTTCCGATTAGACACAAGGAAAGTCAACGCCAATTGCCATTCATTGCGCCTAGCTATATTGGCATTGGCATTGAGCAATGGCGATCTGTCTTTGCTAGTACCAGAGGCGTATCTACCTGGGGACCGTAAGAACCAAGAAGATACCTACGCTGGAAGTGTATCAAGCTCGACCTTGTTCCAAAACATCTTCCTAGAGGCGAACCGAATCGAATACTGTGAAGTTCGCGACTACATCAATATACGACTCCAAACAAGCAGACAGGGCAGATTCACTGCCGAAGGAATGCTTCTCCATTCGTATCTTTGGTCAGTGGATCGCGAAATCGACTTTACACCCATACAGGCGGAGTGGGCCGACATATGGGAATCCTATAAATGCTGGGTCATACTTTTTGAGCGCCAAAAAGACGAGACCGACGAACAAGCTCGTGCGCGTCAAGTGGCATTCATCCAGCGGTTCAACCAACCCAATGTAGCCACACAAGCTCGTCAGGATTTCCGTCGTTGGGGTCATATCCCAAATGGATCGTCTGTATGGGGAAACCTCGACCACACCGGCATACAAGTAAAGCGAAAACTCGATGCGAAACGCGTCCGGCAAGTCCCTGCAATGCGCAACACAATCTCTCAGATCATCTTTGGCGTTCTCCGGTATATCAGGTACACGCTGGCCGCGTCTGAAGAGAAAGGAGAATTAATGAAGGGACTGGCCAACAGCATATGGCACTCTGTCCGCACGGATGGAGTCAGCTTGGAGCACCAACTACCAGATGAAGTCGACGATACGCTCTTTGCCCACCCCGACGTTGTGAACCGGCCTTTTGCCACGTTACAGCTCGATGAGACTCTCGAAGCGAGCCTCGCACAGTTGTGGTTCATCGACCGCATCATGCAGCACGGACGACTCTGGTGTGGAACTTACACGCCACCCAAACGACCAGCCCGTCTTACCTCACCTCCCGGCTCACACACCAGCACCACCTACGAAGAAGACCTAGAAGCGCACAACGAACATCTATCCGCGATCCCAGCATCCCAACGCTCAACCATAAGCCGTCAACTCGCGCGCCAATTTCTTACCGTCGGCATTGAAAGCACGCTCGCTAGAAATGGGAATCAAGGGAGCAGCCGCCACACCATGGTGACGTATCCGGAGATTCTGCGCAGGGATCTTTGGTCAGATCGAAAAGAGAGGTTGCGGGAGAGAACGCTGTTGGCCACCTTCGACGTGGACGGACCTTGTCTGGTGGCAACACCGTATAATCCTGAATGGGAGGTTTTGCCGCGGCCAAAGCTCCGTAGCACGAGTGTGTGCTGGGTCGTTGAAGCAAAGGAAAGTGGTGGCAGTGCTGCAGGATCATCTGCTGGGACGGAGGACGACTCCCCAGATGTAGTGGGCTGTGATCTTGCAGGTGCAACAGAGGCCAGAGGGAAGGGGAAGGAGAGAGCAGGGGATGACTCGCCCGAAGCTGAACCTTCCGGAGACACTGATGATGTCAAGGCCAGGAAGCTTCCGGATCAGCGGGATCTGGACTTACGTGCGCTGAGGAAAGTGAAAGGGCTATGGCAGATTATGGATCTTCCTTCTCAGGTGTATCTGTTTAGTTAGTGGCTTGGGTCATGATGGGCGGGAACATCAGACAGATGCTACAGATCCCATCTTGCTGCGGTAAATCCAGTTTGATACTCTTTCTGCAAGCTCCTGAAGAACCAGTGATGCGCATCGTTGATGAATGCCAAGTGTAGCAAGTATCCCTTTACTTAGAGAGGAATATCATGCCAGCAGCCAGAATACGGTTGTGGTGCCGTGTCCAGTAAGAATGTCTCAAAGCAATATGTTTAATGACTATGTCCAGAATTAGCAACTGGGTTGATGAAGACCAAAGCCCATGGCTGAAGGCAGAAGTTTGACAGGCATAGCGCAAAGGCAGGCGGCTACTCTGGCGCCCCACCAAACCCACTCACATCCCACCCACGGACTCGTGCAACAATCATTCTCCACCCAAGCGCCAACGACGATCGCCTGCCTGCGCTGCTGTCGCGACTGGACCCTTTTATTTAATCATCCCCCTCGCTCACCAAAACGGCGTCACCAGCCCCAGCCCCCGACAAGCCTCGCCCGCCGCCCTCGCCCCTGCGCATTGCCAGCCAGCTCACGACCGCCTCGGCCATCCTCTGGGACCCCAAGTTCACCTCGCGAGCGCCCCCGGGCAGTCTCCAGCCCGTCCACGCCGGCACGCTTGTCGCCCCGCACCGCACCGACTCGTCCATCAGCGTCCGCAACCTCGGCGACGGCCACACACAGCCCCTCGTGCCTACCATGGACAACCGCAGACACCCCAGCTCCTTCCAGCAGCTCGAGAAGCTCGGCGAGGGCACCTATGCCACGGTAGGCAGTTACGCCGTATTGGGCATACCGCGTGCTAACTCGCGCAGGTGTTCAAGGGCCGCAACCGCCAGACGGGCGAACTCGTAGCCCTCAAGGAGATCCACCTCGACTCGGAGGAAGGCACGCCCTCGACGGCCATCCGCGAAATCTCCCTTATGAAGGAGCTGCGCCACGAGAACATCGTCCTGCTGCACGATGTCATACATACCGAGAACAAGCTCATGCTCGTCTTCGAGTTCATGGACAAGGACCTCAAGAGATACATGGACTCGCGCGGCGATCGCGGTGCTCTGGACCCCGCCACCATCAAGTCCTTCATGTACCAGCTGCTCAAAGGAATCGCCTTCTGCCACGAAGCCCGCGTCCTGCACCGCGACCTGAAGCCCCAGAACCTTCTGATCAATAACCGTGGCCAGTTGAAGCTGGCCGATTTTGGTCTCGCTCGCGCCTTTGGCATTCCAGTCAACACCTTCTCCAACGAAGTCGTAACCCTTTGGTATCGCGCCCCCGATGTCCTGCTCGGCAGCCGGACCTACAACACCAGCATCGACATCTGGTCAGCAGGCTGCATCATGGCGGAGATGTACACCGGGCGGCCGCTGTTCCCCGGAACCACCAACGAAGACCAAGTCCAGAAGATCTTCAGGCTGATGGGCACACCATCGGAGCGGTCATGGCCGGGTATCTCGCAGCTGCCAGAATACAAGAACAATTTCCCCGTATACCACACCCAGGACCTGCGCCTTATTCTACCGCAAGTCGACCAGGTTGGGCTCAGCCTACTCAACTGCATGCTTCAGCTGCGGCCGGAGATGCGCATATCTGCTGCGAACGCATTGCAACATCCTTGGTTCAACGACCTCCCACAACGGCAGCAGGAGATGCAGATGCAGGCCCAGGCACAGGCTCATGCTCAGGCCCAACAAGCGCAGATGGGCGGCTACCAGGTGCCCCAAAACGCATACTAGACGCATGACGTTGATCGAGTTGCGCACATCCGAATGCTTACCGCAACGGCGCAACTGGAGGCTGCCTATAATGCATGTGATTACTACAACAACGCGCCCGGGTACCAAACGAGTCGAGATTCGTATTGCTATCAAGGAATATAGTTTATCTGGAATGGAGAAACGTACATTCGCGCTTGGCAATGGGGTGGAGGGCCGTTTTAGTATCAAGGCGAGCGCCTCAAAGTGACTGTAACCGATGGACTGACCCGCGCCTTCATTCGGGCATCATGCCAGTTGCCACTGCGCCCGTATGTGTCGATGGGGAGGCTTCATGTGTGGAATGGGGAAACGTTCGTCGTGGTTGGTGCCTATTGGCTTGATATAGAAGCTGGGAGTTTCGAAGACTAGAAGGCATGCGGTCCATTGTTATCGTGAATGTTTGACGGCTGTGGCTGGCTGGTAGAGTTATATTTATACCATGAAACTCTTTTTCTTCGAGTTTTTGTTCCCAGGCAACAATACACTCTTCCCAACATGTACACTGGTTCGACGGAGACGCCACTCATGTGTCCAGGGTACGTTCTCGATAACGGGTACAACAAGTACGGAAGCGCCTTCTTCCCACTCTTGGTCACTAGCCAGGCACTTACATCTTCTCTTTGACAACTAGATGATTGTATTACCCTCAAATTCATGACTTGGGTTTTGCGTAAAGCCTCAAGCTTAGCCATATCCTCCTATGTTGTTCTTCGCCTGTCGTCAATGGACTGGTATACTGAAGAATTCCTACAAATACGCACCTGATTCGATGCGTCCTCGCACACGGGTTTCGTGGATAAGTTTGCTATGTGTTGGACTATGTACACGGACATATTCGGAGAAGAGGTCCTTGAACAGCGTCTTCCAACCCATAGTCTACAAAGGGGGTTACGACTTTAACTAGATTAACAATTCATTTGTTTGCTGTTGTCTGGTAATGTAGGACACTGTAATGTAGTCGAGAGAATTAACGAAAAGAGTAGCAGCACGCTGAGCGGACGAGCAATATAAGGGAAAGAAGGATTAAGTACTCGGAGAAGGCATCAAGTTATAGGCAGAGTTTTCCGACGTAAGAGCTAATGTGGAATAACAAGCATGTGCAACGTGTGATTACAGGCATGCGTGAAGGCCTACACAAGTACTACATGGAAGTTGCAGGTAGGAAAGGATGTTTACTGCACACGCATCAATCAGTGACTTGGTCTTCGTCAACCACCCACGGACGGATTAACCGGCACTAAAAGAAATTTTCCACTTTCACGATTACATTCGCACTCTCGACGTAACCATTCTATAGACATCGATACGGACAACATTGTCGACAGACCCCAAGCAGCACGGTCTCTGTACGAACAAGTCTAGACACCTTGGCACTACACTTACGTTCCAAATGTCAAAACTATCTTGGCGATACCTGGCCTCGCCGGTCGGCTACAAGGCCCGTATCGTGTTTCACCGCATATACACTGTCAAATCCTAACAGTCAGATGAGCTTCCCACGACTACTCCAGTTACAAGTAGTGAAGAGGTGCGATACGGGGACAAGGTAATACACAACTAATGTTTAAGCGCTAACATGAGATGGTTCAACCGGAAAGCAGTCCTAAAAAAGCAAAGAGATAGCACACGAGGACCTTCAGTCTAGATCACATTCTCTAAATTCATCGATTTGTCGTTCTTACAACTACATGGTACATAAGTTGAGATGTATGCAGCCTCTCGCCGAGACTCAGCCATTCACCGAGAAGGAAGCGTGAAGACTCTGTATGATGTGACATGAAGAAGACAGGAAGTTGTGAGCATAAGTGCGCAGTTTCGTTCCCCCCGTCCCTATTTTAGGCATCAGCAGCAGCACAAGATTGTCGTGTACTTTGGTTGTTGAGATGGAATTCCACTGAGAAGCATGGCTGCGATGCATTGAAGCCAGGCACACCTCCTTATTTTGTAAGTACGAAGCGCCGATGCGAGCCTTGCATTTCTAGATTGAGTCATGTAACGATGACATATTTGATGATTGATGTTCTAGACTGAGGTTGGATGACATCGCTGTATTAGAGATGATGTATCTCGTGTATGAGGGCTGTCGCAAGGCTTACTTACGATCGATACGTAATTTGTGAGCGTAAGATGTAAACCAGCATTACGAGCACATGTTGTGTTCCTTACCTGGGTAGCATCATAGTGTCTACATCTTAGCACCGATACATGTATGACAGCAATCAGATAAGATATGAAAGTACCTAAGTGGTGCTAGCACATCGCCGTACCGTAGATGCAAATGGAGACGTATCAATTCAGACTCTGTCGGCAAATCAGCGTCATTCCAACGTTACATACCCAACCACCCAAAGTACCGCTTAAGGTCGTTGCAATCGAATCATCACGAGATGAGCGCGACCACAACACGGCTAGGAGAGCATGCTCACAGTTACCGATAGAGCTTTGAGACTACCAAGGTAGCTATGTAGCAATCACGCCGCCATAGAAGGTAGTTCATCTGTCAAGTGCTATTAGCTTTCTCACGACCAGTTGATGAAGCAGAGGAACTACTCCGCAAAGACGTGTTAACTTGCAGTTCAATCTGCGAGGTAGAATCGCTACTCGGAGTCCGCGGTGGCCGAGAGAAGCAGTACTCATCTCCTTCGACCTCTCTGAGACACCCAGAGTACCTTTCATAACAATACGGCAGTCACTGCCGAAATCTGAAACAAGTAAGCAAAGTACCAAGCACAATCTTCTTAACATCTCGCCTAGATTCGTCTACCCGTACAAACTTTCGTCTAAAAGTTAAACACATGACAAAGGTTAAGATCATCAATCACCAAACACAACTCATCCTTCCAAATCCAATCCTCACCGGTCTACATATCCAACTGATCTTGACCAGGCTCTCCAAAACATATCGCTTGTGGACAAATCTCTTCATTGTACAAGAGGACGTCTCGGGGATACCATGGCGCTTTTATCGATGCATAGTACCAAGGGAAGATTCGGTGTTAGCAAAGCAAGTTGGTAGATAGACATCATATCTTGCCTACCTGACTGATGAGACAGTCGTCGAACAGTCGGTAACACATGACGTTCAAACAATATACGCAAAGGCCGTGAAGATCATTCCATGTACGAACAATCGGTCAGACGATGTACGCTGAGTCTTACCTGGGATGTGCAGCCTGAGCTCAGGGCACTGACTCTTCCCGCGTTCTACCTCGTACGAACGTCAGAATGATGTGCCGGAGGTATTACCGTATCTAGTTTTTGATCTGCCTTTTCACGATACATGACTCAATCGGCATAGACGGATGGCCTTACATTGTTTCGACAAATCGGACGGGCAGTGGTGCCTTCTTTATCGAGGGATAGAGTTCTGTCCACACCATGCATGGGACTGCATGGTGTCATCGCAGGAAACCGCTTCTTTTTGATCAAAATACATCTCCACGAAGCCATATCGTATGTTGCAGACATCAAAACGCTATGTTCATGCTAACGAGTGACGTTGGCTTCAGTCCTCCGCGGAGCTCATGCCAAGCATCACGAATCTTACCAATGGCGCAGCCGCTAACGGAGCATAGACATGGGAAGGTACATACATAGCATTGCCAACGCCCCGGATCTACAACAAGCCTCAACACCATCGCTTATTCACCCATTACCAAGACAGCATCTCACGAACTTTTGAGTTTCTTCCAGTGAGCAATCTTGCTGCCTTCCGAGCCATTACGTGTGGCGTACCCATGATACGACTGGTGGCAAACCTACTTCTGGAGGCGGGTCCAGCGTGTCTCATTCGCGGTCTCGACGCCGTTGAACCAATTTTGATCGCTGCCGGCAGCATCTCGGAACCTTGACTGTCTCGATCCGACGGTGGAGACCGCAAAAGGCCCTTTAGGAAAGAGGATATAAGCCATGAGGGAGTCGCTACTGTCCCCAGTACAGAAACTCTGAGTTTGCTATCTTGTGCGGAGAAGCACAATGGTCGACGACGCCTCGTGGCGAATGCGGCATCCCATGCCGCCCTCACTCGCTACGCTTACCAGGGGTATTTCCGCGAACCTTACCAACGCATCGCCAGCTGCGCCTCGCTGAAACTACCCATCGAATACGAATTCGGATCATGGCTACAGGTTACCTTACCTCCCGACCAGATGCATGACCTCTGTCATACCTGTTGGGTGGCATGACGACGACTGCGCGGCAAACACCGGCCCAAACCGCCAATGAGGTGTACATGAAGACTCGTCAAGTATGGAGCAACTGTCGGCGCCATTGCTCCGTTTCATGACCATCCGTGGGACATGACCATCCGTGGGACATGCCCAGTCAGTACCAGTTTTGATGTTCGGGAAGCGGTCAGCCCGGAGTTGAGGCCATGTCGCCAGTTGGAACAGTGTTCAGAGGCCTAACATCCCGTCGAGGAGACCGTGTAGCCTCACTGACGGAACCCCTCGTCCTTGCCCATGCCAGATTTTGCGTGCACAGTTCCCTTTATCATACCAGAGCCGCATCAGCACTTGGAAAATATATCGCAAAAACTCCGGGACATCCATTACGGAATACCTGCCCATAACAGCCCAACGGGGGAATCTCGGCTAGTTACAGGCACCCTAGTAAGGCACTAACGAAGCTCCCGTCGCTTTGCAAGAACCGCCCGTGCCAACGCTGCAGGATGCCCAGCGGTCAGGCTAGGATGTTTCTCCAAGCAAGGTCCAGCCCACCAGACCGCCTAAGCCCCATGGCTTGCGACCGTGTGGTAGGCGTTTGACCGGCGTCCGACGCGCTGCCCTGCAGACTCTTTCCCCAGCCGTGGAACCAGGGACGCAGGCCGCTTCTCCATGTTAGATCATTGGACTCGCGAGCCATCAGCCCCATGTCAACTTGCGCAGTGATGCTAACTAGTTGAGTCTAATATGCACTTTGGACGCTTGGGCTTTTCAATCGTCCAGGTTACCTAGGTGCGAATGAGCATTCATTCAAGCACAATGACACAAGGAACCTTCGATGATATCTCCCCGAGTGTAGGCGCAACATGTCTGTTGTACTAATAGGAACCAGCGGATCCGCTCGGCGACTGCATTCCTCATCAAGTAGATGACGAGACGTTCCCACACTAGCTTGTCCTCCAACATGGCTTCCACTCCTACCACCACTGCTCCGGTCAAGCGGGCTTGCGATAGGTACGTCGCCGTCGGTACATATTCACATGCCACACCACTAACATCATCAACTTGTAGCTGTCACAGAAGAAAAGTAAAGTGCATTGGCGAAGGCACGGCCCCTTGCAAGAACTGCGTCTCTGCTGGCCTTGCATGCACATACAATGCCATCCCACAGAAGAAAGGACCTAAAGGCAGTCGTGCCAAAGTCCTGTCCGAACTTCGCGAAACTCAACGCAATGCCCAACTTGCTGCTGGATTCCCAACTGACCTTGGCTTCGATGGCCGGTCATTATCCTCGACATTCGCTCGCACGCCGGGCCTCATGCCCCCCGCTCTCGTCGAGAGTTGCATAGAATACTTCTTCGCCCATGTCTACCCTTCAGAACCCGTCTTGCACCGCCAAAGAGCGCAAGAAGCCGCCGTTGGTATGGACCGCTCCACCGAGGCGTATTGCATGGTAGTCGCACTATGTGCATACGTTATGATCCAGGCCAACCACAAACCATCCGTCAACGTCTTACCACGACCAGAGATGGTCCACATGTCAAACGTCGGCATCGGCCATGTCCTCCTAGAAGAGTCCGTCCGTGTGCGACAAGGCTACGACCACCGCGAGAACCCCTCCCAGATGAGCGTGCTCACATCATGGTTCTACTCTGGTTGCTACTTTGGACTTGCGCGCGAGAACACAGCATGGGCATACCTCCGGGAAGCCACCACACAAGCGCAACTGCTAGGCATGCACGATGAGGAGACTTACAAACATGACCCTCTGGATATCTCGCGCAAGCGCGTCCTATACTGGCTCCTCTTTATCGCTGAGAGGTACGACTTCACATCCACGCGTCTTCCTAGACCCTTTGCTAATTGCATGTAGGACCTATGCCCTACACAAACACCGCCCAATCACATTATACCCCACCATTCACCCTCCTTCGCTGGACGAGGTCCCCTCCGATCGACCCATTGCCGTTGGCCTGGAACTTATGATCAACATGTTCAAGATTATCGACGACACATACATCAACCTCTGGAACCGAGTGCACAACACACATGCAAGCGCTGCATGGATTACGCAAATTCAAACCCAGCTCTCCGAGGCGGTACCAGCATACTTCGAGTGCACAGAGGTCCAGGAAGTGCAGATTCGCATAACTCAACAATGGCTACGATCGCAGACATGGCAGCTAAGTGTCTGCCAGGGTCTTGTGAGCAGCGTCTCCAACGACATCCCACTCACATTCAAATACCCAATCGAAATCGCAAGGGACCTCCTCACAATTTCGCATCAATTCTCGCAACAAGCCATGGAGATGCACGGCGTCGGACTGGTGAGTATTTTCCCGTTAATTTTCCGCATCATCACTCTCCAATTTTTGGAGACTGTCACCGCTAGAGCCCCTCCATCTCTTGCTGCAACAATCCCTGTTGGATTCGATCGCGCTAGTGCCGCACTAGGCAACGTCTATCTCTGACGTCTATGCCCTGACTAGCCAAACTGGCAGCACTGTCCCTTCCACCCATACCCCTGCCACGTTTTACCCTATCTGTCACGCCAAACGTTAGCTAACAGCGCTGCAGATCGAGAAGCTATTCGACATTGCGTGTTGTCTAGCAGATGTCGTTGCATGCACATCGTTTTCGCCTGATGCTTTCGCTTTGGGCCCTCGCGACTATGTATCGCGTTTCCTCACACTGATATCGACTCTTCGTGGAGGACAGACTCGATACCTCCCTCTACTCCTCACCAAGCTCTCTGAGGTCCTCCCGAACCTTCCGCTTCCCCGGTCTCTGAACCTCCCCCAGACGGTTCCCGCTTCGACGCTCGGCTTAAATTCTACTGGCTCGGGGACACTTCCCTCCAATGTCGCCGACGACTACTCGGCAAACCCGAACGCAACGTCGCCCTCGTATCCTAACAACGATCTGATTCGTCGACTGGCCGCGCAGACTGGAGCCCAACTCCCTTTCAATACGACCCAGCATTCCATGGTCAATGTACCTACCACGCACGTAGGCGACATGTCCCTGTACGACTCTTCCCACAGTACAGCGCATTCCCACTCCTCTAGCTCAGCTCCTAGGAGCACTTCCACGACACCGGGCCCCTACGAGACTCCTATGGCACAACGGGGGTCGCAACTCGTAGGTCATCCGACCATGCAATTACCCACTTCGCACGGCCACATGCAGAGTCATCACATGGGCGTTAATGCCACAGCATACGACCCACGGTTTTCTATTCAGAGTTACCCTGTCGACCCTATGATGTACAAGCAATAGTTTTTTCTTTCTTTGAAGAGTAGGAATATCAACAACGGCGCGGTGGAGTTTCCGGTCCTGACAATGGGCCAATTTTAGATTCGGTAGCATGGTATAGCTTTTGACCATTCAAGTAACGTTCAGCTTTTACAACGGCAAACACCCTACAATCTTCGAGTGATCAAAGCTTCGAAAAGGAGCACGTGGAACACGGACGACGTTGAACCGCGATGTCACAAGATCCAAAAGCGTCATATTTGCCAGGGCTCAGCACACGAATACCGCGATTCCCGGTCATTAGCGATCTAAAGAGCTACGAATGTCAATCCTCCGGTAGTTCTTCCGACGGGAAGGAGCTCATGGTATCAGAAGCACACGTGCGGGAGGATGAGCTTGCATGCAGCACTAAGTCCACCGTGGATATTTTAAGCGATTTGACATGTGTACCATGGGTTAATCGACGCACCGGCTTGCCTCTTCAAGATGAAGTGTCAAGGGCCATCCATGTGCTGGATTACCACAGCCATGGCCCGGACGTCCTTCTCGATCTCGAAGATTACGAAAGCGTAGCCAAGAGATGAGCACTGGCACTCTGAATCCTTGGAGGTGGACAATGATTGACTGCGGAACGACGCGGTTAGGTCTGGGAAAGCCGGTTTTGACATGACATGGTCCCACACTATTGCGGCTGTGTAGCTTCGACGGGACCCGCAACGAGGGAAGGG